ATTCACAAAAATAATTAGATTTAATATGGAAAATCATTTCAGAGCATCCAGTTTCTTATGCTATTATGTATGATGTACTACAGCTTCATGGCGCCTCATATTTTTGAAGCATTGCTTGTCAGCCCAAATGCTTGTTAAGAGCTTAACTTGTTGACATGCTTAGCTCAAATTGATCCCTGGAGTTTCCTTAAGATTTGAGCTCTAAACACAGCTAGCTGTTCCCATTTCTGGCATGCTCTCCGGGCCTGAGCACTTACCAGAGTCACTTGCTTCTTCTGTTGAGATGAACATCTCTGAAGCACATGCAACATGCTTACACTGACCTGGTTTGTGTGACACAACAGCCCATTGTGAGTAACTAGCCTGGTGGATTGTCACCTCATCTAAACCCAGAGTGCTTCTCTAAGAGTGACTTTAGTTTAGCTTTTCTGGCAAGCCATCCTGAGAAGCGAGTCATCTGAGGGTGGTTCTGGGGTTGTCATCTTGTCTGAAGCTGGGTCAAAAGGCTTGCCATTCTCAGAAATGTCGGCAGCGACAACCCCTCTAGGACGCCCAAATGGCATGCTGGAAGGTCTGCCACTGGTTGGGCTCTTTTTCACTCATTTAGTCATTCATTCCATACCAAGTATCCTTAAAAATAAGGGAATGCATCTTCGACATTACTACTCGAGTTGTATTGGCACAACTGCAGAAGTGAGAAGTCCCAGAAATGGGAAATGTTGCTTGAGCAACATCTTGGGAAAGCTCTGCTGTCGAAGTGCAGCGCACAGCAGCCCTGGATGTTGCTGTGGAGGAGCACCAGACCCATTCCTTTTCCACTCTGCTTTCCCACGACAGCTGACCAAGGGTGACAGCGGTCCAGAGAAAGCAAAGCCACGAGTGTTCTTTGCCTGCAGAAGTGGGTAGGAGTCTTCCCCTGTTTCACAACAAGTTCATCAGATTTTGAGTGTCGCATCTGGGCTACAAAAAATAATAAAAAGAATTAGAAGAGCAAAACTGCTAGTTCCTCCAGTGGCTGCTTGGGCATTTTTGAGGAGCTCTCACTGGCCATCCATTCTGAGGTTGCTGGGAGCAAATAACCAGATCACAGAGAGAAGTGGCTTCAGCTTCCAGGTGCCTTCTGATACCAGCAAGAGGACCAAGGGGGAAGCCACCATGCTCCCTGGTCCTCTGCTGGGCACACTGTGGGTTGTTCGCACAGCAACCGGCCCTTCACGTGATGTGCAAACCCACCCTTCACTGTCTCCAGCCCTGTCAGAGAGAGAGAGAGAGGATAAACCGTAGATTTAACCTTTATAAATTCTGACCCCTTTAAGATGCTTTGTTCAGTACTGTTTTTCCTCCTTTGTATCAGTAAGGAGACATGCCAGCTTGCTTGTTAAATCGTTATTAACATCTGTAAAACTACTGTTTAGCATTTAGGCAAAGATAAGACTACCTGGGGCCCTTGCTGATAGGTGGCTGATGCTTCTTGCTGTTCTGTCTGTGCACGGACAAAGTTTCTGAATTCTTCTTTCTCTTTTAAGGGCTTGCTGTCTTGGTTACTACTACCAGGACCATCAGCAGTGATTACTGCCCTTGGTACAACTCTCACTGGGGGCCCAAGTTTGAAAGGGTGCCAGCAGACCATTTAATGCCCCCACCTGCTCATCCGGAAGCAGGGCATCTCAAAACTGGGGTGCAGAATTGTGGCCCCTCCAAGCCACTTTTGGTGGCCCTCACATCTGGCACATCTGGGGTTCCCATGCTGGCACTAACAGGGAGACCCTTCCTGGCCCCTGATCTCAGACGAGGAGGAAGATACGGAAGGCACTCATTTACGAGCACTGGCATGGGTGAGAAGCCCCCAGCACGGGCGAGGGAGTCCCCTAGCAGGGACACATGCCCACCCACGCGGTCTGCAGCCAGTGCAGTCCTTGGGGTGCATGCGTGGCTTGAAACATGATTTAGTTAACATGTTCCCCCTGCAAATACTCGAGAGTTAATAACCTGCAGCCCATGTGCCACGGTAGGTACACAGTGTCTGGGCGGCCTGGCCATCTTTCTGTGTCATGGCTGAAGTTGGTGCCACCTCGTGGGGTGCCTGGGGCCATGTCATGGGTGTTCCCCAGCTGCTCGCACTGCTGTGGCTGCCGCCGAAGGATGCCTCTGAAACCCGGACTGGGCTCCATTATCACTCCGTGCTAATGAAATGATTTTAATATTACAAGAAGCACGGTTCGCCCTCCTCCAGTTCTTTCAGTATTAAAGGGAATTGGATCGTAATTAGAGCATATTTCACAAAGACTGAAAAGGGGCTTGAATATGTGCTTGACTCCTAAAGCAGTTAATCCTGCGTTAATTGTACTTTGGGCACATCTGTCCTTGTCTGGCGGCTGAGCATCCATCAGTCATCAGCCGATCTCCAGAGGCTGGCGGGCTCCCCCTGCAGGTAGTTCTTGCTGCCTAGCTGGGCAGGACTTTGATTCAAGACCGCGGAAGTGAGCACAGCCCGGAACGCACTTTGACTCCACGAACCGCGCTGGCAATTCCATCTGGAGAAGAAGTGTGTCTTGAGTCGCTGCCAGGTGCAGCATCTGGGCTTGTGTGCTGCCTTTTCTGTCCAGACCCAAGTGCGGAGAAATTGCTGCCACAGAGTTCTCAGCAGTGATTTGGCAGTAGAGCCGATGGCTGACAGTCAAGTGTGCATTGTATGATTGTCCTATTGGCTGCAGCAGCCCAGAAGAAGCATCTCAGTTTTATTGTTTAGAAGGCAGTCGCTGTGGAATATCAGTTTACAATGCCTTTCTCTTCCTTCTCTGAGAGCGTGGAATATGGCTGTGCGACCCAGTGGTCAGAGGCAGTCCTGTGCTCCACCAAATGATGCTGTTAACTCTCGGTGTATTGGTTCTGTACACTTGTGTCTGGTGCACTCTCCTTTCACTGCAGTAGCCGCTGGCTGGCTGGCGGTGTGCATGCAGTAGCGACTGCGGAGGCAGCGGGGAGGGCCTTGGGCAAAGGCCCTCTGGGCGTCCTTCTCCCACTCGTGCCTCTGGTCAACGGGCTCTCCGGTTTTTAGCACTGTACTCAACCCAGAGGCTTAAGAGGCCCTTTCTCAAACTGATTTCAACTTTGGAGATGGGGCACATTCGTTCGGCTCACGTATTAATGTACACTTGGGAACTAATATGTGGACCAGACTCGGTGGTCCTTTGAACAATGTACTTCTCTTAATGTTGCACTTGACTTCTTCAACCAGAAAATATCCACAGCAACGTACATATAAGAGAGAAGTGCATGTAAGGATGTATGTACTAACAAACATAAAATTGGGAATGCATTGTTAGGAAACAGGTCTGCAGAGATAAAGGATAGATTGGGCAAAAGCGCATACAAAAATGCATGTATTTGAGCACAAGAGCGGAAAGAAATCGTCATGCGAACTTCCAGAGAACTTGAACTCGGGATGAAGAGGACGAGAAGGTGAAAGAGGGCAAAGCTGAGCTGCCTTTGCATCCCTGCCTTCAGCTCCCACCCCCCTCCCAAACGCACGGCAAACCACAGAAACGCGCAGCCAGGGGCTCCTTGGGTTCCAAAGCTCAGTCGTGGCTTGCGTGGCGTTCTGGGTCTCGTTTCTTTCGCATTCCCGGTACTGTTCTGCTTTGAGCACAGAAGTGGCTTCCGTATGGGGCACCTGCCCCAAGTTATGGGAGGTTGGTCTTTACTGATTTACTGTAAGAGAACAGCCACCCCAAGGAATGGCCTCAAAATGTTGGGTGCTGTTCGGGTGTAGGATACGACGCAAACCATCTAATGAAAACTTGCAGGTTAGAGGACAGGAAGGAAATTCCTTGCCTGCCCCCAACACCCCCCAAGAGCCTCTGGGCAGAGGAGCCAGGTCAGCTAGAAACATGGGGGAAAGCGAGTCAGAAGGGGCCTCCCGGGCCATCTAGTCTGACCCTCGGCTCCAGCCGGCTCCGCTCATGTAATCCCCAGCGTGGCTGTCCAGTCTTTCCTTGGACACCCTCACTGATGGGACCTCCACCACCTCCCTTAGGGAGGGGCAAAACCTAGGAGCCATCTCTGCAGCTGGATCAGGCCTGTCCTCCCTCCTTAAACACTAAAATGTTTATTCTGATGTATAGCTTCAGGCACAGTGTCCGTGTCTCCGGAAGTGTGGGCATCCCTTGAAACGGACAGTGGCCACACAGGTGTGTGGCTTTTCGCCACCCTCTGAAATTCCCGAGGTTCCCTGCTGTTTTTGTTGCGATCGGACTTCGTAATGGTGCTACCAGACTCACTCGCGGCTTTTATTAAATGCGCTGCAGTTGCCAAACTGAAGCCAAAAACGTTTCCTTTTTTCTGGCCTGGTTTTAAATGTTGAGGTTTCTCAATTGTATTTCTTTCCCCTTGAAGTTTCATAATGGCCACTGGCTAAACAATAAAAATCAACGGAGCTGAACTGACGGAGTTGCAGCTTGTAAGAAAACACGCTGCCGCCCCCCCCCCCCCCCCCCCCCCGGTTTTGTTTAAAAGGACTGGTGGCAAAGCACGGCTCGCTTGTATTTGCTCAGAAGTGTGTGTGGGTGTGTGGTTAGTGCCTTCTCCCAGCACATTTTAGCCTTGGCGTGAAAGTGCTGCAGCCCACAATCCCCCCACCCCCTGTGCTAACGCTGCACCCCAAATCCCCGATTGCCTGCCACTGAGTCACCAGAGGGGCAGTTCAGCCTGGCAGAACCTCGGTGGGGAAGCTGCCCCGAAGCTGGGACTCCACCAGCCCCTTGGGGGTCCTGTGGGAGGGCGTGGGACTCCCCGGGAAGGTTGGCATTCCTCTGACAATCGGATGACTTCTTGGGCGCCAAAGGTACGACAGCTTGGGGCACAGGCGCCCTTTCCTTGGAGCTGTTCCCGCGAGCGCATGCTGGACTGGTTGCAGAGAGCCGTCCTGGTTCCCTGCCACTCGGCTGCTTGCTTCTCGGGTTCCAAGCAAGTGACTCATCCTGGTTTCCCTTGACTTGCAGCCTCTTCGAGCACTACTGCTACACCCGGGGAGGAATGCGGCACACCTCGTACACGTGCATCTGCGGCAGGTAAGCCCCCTCGGTGCGCGGATCCCTCCCCAGTGCCCCCGCGGGCCGAAGCCACTCGAGCGAAGGTTCAGGGGCTGCATCTTGCGCTCCGGCACTCCAGGGGGCAGGCCGAGTGGCCGGGGGTCTCGTGGAGCCACGTTGGGCGTTGCCTTTCCGCAGAGCGGGGGGCATTTGTCTCTGCGGTCCAGACGGGATGCCCTGTCCTCTCCCAAGAGACATCGCCCCCTGCAGCAAAACAGAGTCCAAATTACACCCCCCGTGGGAGCTTCCTGGGGGGAACGGGGTCTTCTGGGGGGTGCGTGTGAAGGGGCTGGTGACCAGCTGCACACAGCCCCAGGAAGCCTCCAACGCCGCAGGGCCGGAGACCGGCCTGCTGCCACAGTTGGGCAGGAGCAAGTGCCCTGGATCGGCAGCTGTAGGGCAAGGCATTGTGGGAGTTGTAGTCTAACACATGGCAGAGAGATGGGGTGGGGAAGATCGCGTCAAACACAGCAAACGGTCTTCCCACAGTTGCATTCTTCGTGTTTTGGCTGCTCGCCGGCACGCAGAGGAGAGGGAAGGCGCCTTCTGTGCACCACCTCATCTTCCCGAGTCACACTTGAAGCGTTTTGTTCTGCTTCGCGGTGCCTTAACGCCCTGTGTGATTTCTTCCCGCCATAAGCCTATCCGTCGCAGCTTTCCTGGCCTCCGAGGGCAGCGCTTTGCATCCTTCCGCAGCTCTGCTCCGCCTCCCTTCTCACCCTCGCTAAACCATCGACCCGGTGCGGCCTGTTCTGAAAGACCGAGACTGGGAGCGGAACGCATTTTCCTCGACGGCCACAGCCTCTCACACTTGCTTTCTGCACTCCCTGCCTTCCGCTTCCCAGGCTGTGCTGTGTCCCGCTCGGTGGTCTGTTTGCTTCCCATGTCGCAGACTGAAATGTCCCTGCAGCTCTGCAACAGATTCCTCTTCCAAGGAGATGATGGCTGGGTGGTGTTTCTTCATGTTTGTATCTTTGGAATAATGGGGTGCTAGGTCCCTTGGAGGGGCCATGGTTTAGCGGCAAAGCTCATTGGCCCAGGCTCACCCCCGGCAAGTTAGGAAGGGCTTCTGCCTGAAACCCTCCAGGCCTTTGGGGCTGGACCGGGAAGGGGCCAGGCACAGAAGGGGAAAAGGTCCTGCTTGGATCCCAGCAGCAGCTCCAGGTCAAGCAGGGGACAGCGAGAACTGAAACACTCTCTGCAGCGCTGTGGCCGATCCGAGTCGGCTGCCCTGGGTTCCATGGATCCAGGTCTGGCTGAGTGGAGGCCGCTTTCTGCAGACCAGCTGTTGCGAGGGGGAAGCTGCCCCCCCAGGGAGGGGAGTCGCAGTGGTTCTGAGAGCTGCCCGAGCCCGAGTGAACGGAGGAAGCAGAGGGGCCCTGCAGAGCAAAGGGACTGGGTAAAAACTGGGACAGCGGAGAAGCGTCCCGGTCTCTTACTCCCCACGCACACAACAGCCCTTGCGGCCGCTGGGCACAGTGGGCCTGGCGTCCCCTCTCCCATGGGGTGGCGCGCTGGCGCGTCTGCGTGTGCCACCGCCCTGCCAGGACTGCCCTTCCTTCTGCTGGGACGCTTGGCTGTGTTGGGATTGGCTCTAACTGAAATCGCTCTGGGTCTGGGGCAGCCTTCCCCAACCCGACCCCCTCTGGATGCCGCCTAATCCTGCTGCTCCCACCAGCTCTGGACAATGGGCCGAAGCCCAGCGAAGGTGGGAACTGCTGCCTTGAGCTTGTGCGGTGCTGCAGTTCAGGGACGGTTGAGACCGGAAGTCTTGCCTAGTGCCCTTCCTCCGACGTGGTGGGTTTGCGTGTGCAGCGGAGGCTTTTGTACTGTGGGGGATGATTAAAACGCAAGGGCCTGCTCCTCCGGCATTCAGAACTGTTTCCTGTCTGTGCCACGATCCATCAAGTACATTTGCCGATTGTGCAACTTCATAGGTTCCATATTTCCTGGCCGGGACCTGAGTGGGACCTGCTTGGGCCACCATTAAGCTGCTCGGTTCAATAAAAACAGCATCTTCAGATCAATATTTCTGGAAAGCAGGAAATGGAATGTACTTCCCAGGAAATTGCTTTGAATGCGCAGGAAAATAAAGGGATGTTCCTGATGGCCGAAGGCCCCCATCGGCACCCGGCCTCTCCCGTGCATATTTGATCATGGGGTACTTGATTAACTCCTGACGCTGCAGCATGGCACCCAGTGCTCAGGGGTGGGTGTCCCCTGCTCCCTTTGGACTGGCTTGAAAATAAGCCGAGTCTCCCCAGACCATGGGAAGGAGCTCCGATTATTGTGGGGCCGGTGCAAACTGGTGAGCCCCCAGATCCTCCCACATTGCCTTCCCGCCCACTCAAGATGCACACCCCAGGACTGCCCGCACCGGAGCAAGAAGATCCAAGCTTCCCCCGGCGAGGGACGTCCCGGTGCAGCGTTGGCTCCATGCTCTGGCCGGCCCACGGACAAGGCAGCCTCCACGGGCCGCCGACCTTCTGCTCGCTTGGCCGCCAGCGTCAGCAGAAGAGAAGGGCTTCTTCGGGCTCCCCAGCCAGGCAAGTTGACGCACCAGGCGGCATGCCAAGGGCGGCCAGGTGGAGCATCGTCCAAAGGTCCCCACCCCGCTCCTCGTCTCTGTCTCCTCCTCGGCAGCAGGCGCGGGCCTCCTCCGCTCCTCTTCCGCAGCCCCACCATTGCCTGGCCAGTATGAGAGGCAGGCTGCAGCGATGGTGAGGAGGCCGTGCAGGGCGCCCTTGGCAGCGGGATGGGGACCTTTGGACGATGCTCCACCCGGCCGCCCGGTCAGTATTGGAGGCGATAGTATGAGCCCCCGGACGGGTTTTCCTGAGCCTGGAAATAGAGGTTGAGTCAGGAGAAGGCAAGGTTCTCTGAAGAAGACAGCCATGCCGGGAAAAGTCGATGGCAGAAGACGACGGCCAGCGAGGAGGCGGATGGGCTTCATCAAGGAGGCTCAGCCCCGAGTTCACGAGAGCCACCGTGGGCAGAACGTGGTGGAGGGTTTCCTAAGCCTTGACGGCACGTGACACCAGGAGGAGCGGGAGCAAAGAGGCGGGCAGCTGGGAAGACCGAGGGAGAGCTGTTGGGCAGCTTACCCAGCCCAGGTTGTGGATAACCTATCCCACGGTGCTGAAACAAATCCAGGTTCAGGATGCAACCCAGTGTGACTAAGTGACCCTGCTGGTGTGGAGACCTCCAGGCCACAAGGGGCGCTACCCCCGCTGGCTCGGCTTTCAGGCTGCCTTCTGGACCTCCGTCAGCTGGCCTTCCACGTTTGCTCTGTGGACGTTGTTTGCTGCGATTGCTTTCACCTGCTTTGAAGGGCCTGTGCCCTAGAGAGCAGATTCAGAGGAGTTGGAGCCTATGCATCTATAAACCGTGGAGACCAGTGGCACCAGGGCCGCGTCTTGCAGCTCGTATCATTGCCACCAAGCTGGGCCATTGGCCGACAGGGAGCGCTGGGAGCGGCCCTCCAGCGGGTGGGAGAAGGCTGGCCTGTGCCTCAGGTGATGCACCTCCGCCCCCCAGGGGTGGTCCAGACCTTCAGACGTGGCAGCTGCCATGAGCAGCGGCTTATTCTGAAAAACCCCCCACTGTTGTAGGAAAGCTTGTCTGCCTGTGTAGGGTGTCTGGACCTCGTGCCATTCCTTTCAACGACTTGTAGGAACCCCACCTTCCCCACACTCTCACGGAGTCAGCACACCGAAAGCACAGCCTCAAACCACGTGTGAAAGCAGGCACTCCTGCGCCTTCAAAATCTGCCAGCAGCACGTCTAGTCCTTTGTGCTATTATACCGCATATACTTCTTTGTGCGAGCAGTGCGACGAACAGCCGCTGAAGTGCCTGCGTGCAAATCGCCGTGCGGTGCTCTGCTGGAGCTGGAGGACTGGGCCTCGGCTGCGGCGCAGCGTCTGACGGCCCAGCCAGGAGTCACAGGCCACGCGCAGTCTCTGGCAGATGCCGGTAATGAGGACCTCCGAGAGGGATGCGTGGAGCACGCATCCTGCCTAGGAACGGGGCAGAGGAGTGGTGCAAGCGGTTGGCCTGAGGCAAGGTGCTCAGACTTCCCAGCAGCTGCCAAGCAAACAAGAATGCGCTTGCATTGGAGCAGCGGCTGCAGTAAGAGGAGCGTCACCCGGGCTACGCTTCCTCCGGGTAATTCATCCTTGGACGGGCGAGCGGTTTCACTGTGCCCGTTTGCAGTGCAGCTTTGGTATTCGGTGTCTCCTTTTGAGAGGGCATGCTGCTATCAGCAGATCCTTGCAAACTTACATTTCTGCCTCTGAGGCTTCTGAAGCTCGCTTTTGTATCCCTCACACGCTGCTAGAAGCGCTGTGATCCAGGGTTGCATTTCCTGACCCAGGTGCCAGAGACAGCTGCTTGTAGCTGGAAGGAGAGCAGCATGCCAGGAGGGCAGCCGGCTTAACAACAAGGATAATTTATTTTCTTTTGCATTGCTATAATCATTTTAAAAACATTTTAGAATTTAATCATGGGGTGATTAAAACTCCTGGAGAATCACATGAAGACCAAGATGATCTCTTCCTTTGTATCCAGCATGGCGGGAACACCAGCTGCTCCTTCCATTTACCTCCCATAGGAGATCAACTAATGCAGACTGACATTTTTAACGCTCTCCAGTCACTGAGTCCTAATTGTCTGAGTAGCAGGGCAAAAAGCCCAAGTGCTGGTGCAGTCAGAAGCATATCCATCTTGCCATACGAAGGTCGCAACTTTGATCCTCCGCATCAGATCGACCTTTGCTGCTTCTTCAGTAGCAGTAAGCCTGTTCTAATTCCATGCTTACCTGAGGCTTGCAGGGAAAGTTAATGTTACTTGACAAGGTTGCTTCTGAGCAAAGAGGTCCAGTTTAGGCCAAACAGGTCAAGGGCAGGCAGGGTCGAGTTAGATGAAGAGAGTCCAGCCAAAGTAAGGCACCAAGCACCGCAAGGTAAGTAAAGGCATAAGTGCCTTTACTTGTCTGTCTGTTGATTAGATTTATATCCCGCCATTTTTCTTACCCAGAACTCAAAGCAGCTTACAATATTCTCCTCCGTCTGCCCTCAGTCGCATTCCCACAATAGCAAGGGTAGCTTCAGCAGGGCCACGGATAGCTCGGACTGAACGCTGCGGGCGGGTGTTCTCTCCTGCAAGAGGTATAGGAAGATGTTGTCTCAGCAGCAAGCAAGAGCCAGTAGAAACCGTCTGTGGGCCACCACAATTTGTAGGGTGGCGAGCTCCACCCCGTGTAGGAGCTGGCAAGGCTGTTAAAGCACCTTCAGCGGGGAGAAAGCCATTCTGCTGACAGTCTCTCTTCTGACTCAGAAGATGAGAACAAGGCCACGTCTTCTGACCAGTGGGAACCTGACTGTGATTTACCCTGGGGAAGAGCAGCCCAATCATCAGCTGCTTCTCCTGTGACCTGAAAAAGCTGAGGATAGGAGATGGGACAGCTTCTGATTATTCGCTCAGGGGGGCACCAAGCAAGAGACGGCTGTCCAACCTTGTGGACTGCTCAGGTTGGATGGAGTCGAGGTTGAGGCGTGGGGTAGTCTGTTTTGGATCTTCCCACTTCACAAAAATCCCTTATAAGAAAGAGTTCAGATCTTAGACAGGCCATCGTAACAGTTCTTACATGCTTCAGGTTCAGGTTTGCTCATGAATTAACTGTAGGCAGAAGATGTGGCTTAAAAAAAAAAACCTCCAGCCATAGATCTGTCTCCCTCCCTATTCCAAGGACATTTCTCATCTTAACCTTGTTCTCCTACCTTAAAAGACTGGCTAAAGCAAGCAGGCTAAACGGGGCTGCCGCTTTGCAATTTGTGCATATCCAGGGTAGCATCGCGGCCATCTTCGTTGTGATCTTTTACAAAGGAGCATTTTCACTCTCTTAATCCCCCCTTTCCATCACACTTTAATTCGCAAGAAGTCTCTCCGTCAAGAGGAGAGACCTGATCCTTCATAACTCATCCCAGCTTGGAAATACGACTGCAGGTGGCTTCTGGCATATTAGAAACCTGCACAGGGAAAGATGTGTTTCCATTAAAGGGCCGTCTGTGCATTAGTACGACAACAGCCATGTTCAAATGATCAGATGGGGCACATTTGTGAGATAAGGGAATCGCTTGTGTGGGCTGCAAGAACACTGTCCCATGCCCTCAAATGAGCCTCCAGGCACTTCTACACCCAAAAGCGGACTGACGCTCAGACTTCTGGAGAGTGTGTTGATGCTGCCGGTGTTGCAAGCGAACAACATGGCTCCCAACGCTGGCATGCATCTCATGACTCTGGCCCTGGTGCCCACGTCTCGCCAGGCCCGTTTCCTTGAAACCCATGCATGCGTGTCGGGATGGCCAACTGAGGTTCATGGGCTCGTGCTGACTCGGGAGCGTAAGGTGTTGGCATGTGCACTGGCCATGCAGAAATGGCGCCAGAGCGAAGGTGGGGACCGAGCCTTGGAACACCGTGGCTTTTCCGTGGCCGTGAGTCACGTGTCCGGGTCCAGCTCAGATCTCCCCAAGGCCGTCTTGCTTCCCAAGCCAAACCGCAGCGCAAAGCCCTTCTCTGCCGCAAAGGAAAGGCACGAGTGGCTGCGACGGGTGCTGCCGGCCTGAGCCAAGGGCAAGCCGGGCAGCTGCCTCACTGGTGAAGATTCGCAGGCCACAGCGCGCTCCCGTGTGCGCCTCTCACTCCAGGCCTGCCTGTGGGAGGCCTCCTGAGCGACCTCCCCACTGGCGGCGGCGGCGGCGGCGGCGGCGGAGGAAGTCAAGCAACCGCCCAGCCCGAGAGCGCCTGGCAGCCAAAGGTGCTGGCGAAGCGAGTGGCCGAGGGCTCGCAGGAGCCAGTCTCCTCTGGAGCAAGAGAGCTCCCCATCGGCGCAGGAAGCCTGGGAAGCTGGGTCAGTGGGTGGCCGCTGAAGAGCGCGCTACACAGGCTTTCCGCTCGGACGCTGAGGTCCTTCGTGGCGGCGGTCGTGCTTTGGCGCCTGGCAGCATCTTGCTGCCCAGGCCAGGATGAGCCTTGGCTGCCTCCCTCATGGATGAACCTGGCTGGGGTCAGTGGGCCAAGCTGAGGCAGAGCAGGGCCTTCTCAAGGGGGCCCCTTCCCCTTGGCTGGGGTGACGATTGGGAGCGCGGCCACTGGGAAGCGCAAGGACTCTTGGGCCTCGTGAACTGGCTTGGGAACCAGAAGGAAGGTGCGGGGGCTTGCGAGCCTTACGGCGTCAGGGCGTCCACCCCAGAGTTCTTCCTTGAAAGGTCCTTTCCAGAACCTGGCAAGCTTGAGGCCGCCTCCTCAGTGGACTGTGCCTCCACTGACTGGCCATGCGAGAACAACTCTCCTGAACAAAACATGCAAAAACGTCTCCCTGCAGGTAGAAAATTAGCATGAGGAAGAGAATCGAACTAAGACCTTTCTCCCTGAGGTGCTAGTTCTTTACTGGCAGGGATTTATAAGAAAAACGAAGATGGACAGATTCCTCAATGGCTCCTACACTCACAGTCGAAATTGGCACATTCTGCCAGTTTCTCTGCCGTTTTGCACATGCGCTCCTTCCCACAGCAACGCGGTTGTGGTGCAGGTTATCCTGGGGTAGCGCCCCCCTTAGCAAACTCGCGGGCAGGCGTTATTTATTTCTATCCTGTCCACCACTTTGATGTCTCGGAACGGCTGGCAATAAAGCCCACGGAAGCGCAGGCCACCGTGCGTGCAGGCCCGCTCATCAAGACGCTGGGCGTTCCGGCTGCATGGAAGGGAGCCCAAGCCATCTCCTTGGTGCCGTCTGTATTACTAATTGGTCCAATTAATAACGGCTTCTTTAAACTGGGCGGCCAATTAAATCTGAGATTGCAGAAGTGTGGCATTGGCGTTACGAGACCCAAGTTGGATGCTGCGAGTTGGCTTTTCCGGGACATGGTAAAGCCTGTTCTCCCTAATTTGAGCATTAAAGAAGCTTTTAAAGAAGTGGGGCTGTGCAGCCTTGAAGAACAGAAGAACATCCGCAGAACTTGGGTGCTCACTATTTGAAGAACCAAAAATTAATAGGAAAAGATGAAGTTAGGGGCACTGAATCCAAAAAATGGGCCACTGAACGGAGCAGAGAGGTCCTTGGAAGTGAGGAGCAAACTCCTGCACACCCGGGCTTGTCGTCCTTGTGAGTCAGCAATTTTGACCAGGTTTTGTGGGAATAAAAGGCTCCTTTGGTCAAAATTGGTCTTCTCATGTTTCATAGAAAGGTAGATAGAATGAGAATGAAAGAGGCCAAATATGGCCACGTGTTTGACTTGTAATGCAACAGATGAAATTCGGTGCTTCAAGAACAGCAGGGGATACACAGAGATGCAGGAAGGGATAATGCACAATGGAGAAAATTTATCTCATTGTTATGCCACCCAGTAGCCCAAGGCTCTCTGGCAAACAGGTGAGTTGGGGTGTTGGCACCTTTTCAAGCAAAAGCCAGTGTGGTGTAGTGGTTAAGATCGTGGGACTGGGACTCAGGTGATCCGGGTTCGAGTCCCCGCTCGGCCGTGGAGCCCACTGGGTGACTTTGGGCCAGTCACAGACTCTCAGCCCAACCTACCTCACAGGGTTGTTGTGGGGATAAGATGGAGCAGGAGAATGATGTAAGCTGCCTTGAGCCCTTTGAGGAAAAAGGCAGGATATAAAGCGGGGGGGGGGGGCGGGGAGCACCGAAGAACCATTTCATGACTACCTGGATTCCTTCCCACCTTTTATGGACGCTTCTCTTAAGAGATTGAATGGCTTTTTTAGCAAGAACAGAAGAATGACGGCACAGTCCTCTTGCACATGTTGCGTGGCCACTTGAGCATCGCCCAAAAAGAGTGTACCGATTTCCACACGCCATACTGGTGTCCCAGTGCAAATATAACACGTGAACTGGTTTTTAAATAGAAATAGAGGAGCCATCTCTCTGCCTGTGTTCTGGGTGTCCAGTGGGGGAGCAGTTCCAAGGCCTCATCCTGTTCTCCCTCCATGTGGATCTTTGATTTTAAATTGCACTTGGGCTGGGGTGCCCATCACAAAGGAGGCAGCTTCAAAGAGCAGACTTTCCTCTGTAAAGCGGGACCCCTGGTCAGCCTGTGTGTAAACTCCGAACTAAGCCGCCAGGGTTCAGGGAGAGTCACTTCCACACAAGTCCAGCTTCAATGTTGCTAATTCTCACAAGACCGGGATTAGCAAATCCAGACCATGCCTGAGAGCTGGAGCCTTGCCGTGCGGCAGGTTAACCTCTGTGCAGAAATGCCTGTTTTCTACCGATTCAGATCTTGCCGTACACACACGCCCCTCCTGGCGGGCTTTTCTTTCTCTGTTACGAATCCACGTATCTGGTGGTTTTCTGTTTTTCAGTGGCCATAATAGCTCCGTTCTGCACTATGGCCACGCCGGAGCGCCGAATGAAAAGACCATTGAAGACGGGGACATGTGGTGAGTAGAGCCATTCCCGCTGCTCCCTCTTAGCTGAAACATCTGCCTTTTTTATCAAACAAAATGTGATTCTGCTTCCATGCATCCCCGTCCTGCACCCAGGTAAAGCATCATTCTACGACCCGTGTATGTTTATGCCACTGGGACACGGTTGATCTTGCTTGGTCTAATTCTGCCGTATTGGCTGTTTCGCGCCCTTTGCCGGAACGTCCTTCCCCCTGCTTGCTCCTGAGGTTTCGGCAGGCATCTGGTTTGCAGCAGTCTCAGCGAAGGGTATGGAGGGCGCCATCCCAAGCAGCCAGCCTGGCCGAGCACCCCGGCACCTTTCCCGGTGTATCAAGGGGCTCATCCGCATTTGGCGGGTTTTAGCAGGACCCCCCTTTCCAGCCCAGGGTTCATTTGCACCGTCCGGTGGGAGAGAAACGGCAGGGGCCGCAGCCGCCTGAGTAAGGGGGGGCTGGAATGCCAGCAGCACACCTCCCCAGACCACACGGGGAGGAAGAGGACACGCCGTGGCCACGGGGGTCGAGGGTGCTCCCCAGCTTGCCAGGTACCGCCAAGAGGGACAGAGCGTGGGCCGACGGCCCGAGGCCGCCACCTGCTTCCGTGGGGTGGGTGGCAGCTGAAATGACGGGGGCCTTTCCCCTTGAGGAATGGCTACAGAAACGGGGGTGGCGTGTGGGAAAGAGTAGGAGGAGACAGGTCGGGGGGCTGCCGAGTGTGGAGAGAGTGGGGAGGCAAACATTTGTGTCCCCACAGCCAGAATCCCATTCCTCTCGTGAAGGTGCGCCCGCTGGGAAATTCGGGACGGATCAAAGGAAGGTGTGTTTCACAGAGGCTGGCTAAGCCACGGGCTTCCCTTCCGCGAGATGGCGCAATGGAAGGCAGGCCAGTCCGTGGGGGAGGCTGGTGGTCCTGACAGCTCCGTGCCACCGCTGGCATCCAAGGCGGGGCGCCTGCCCACGCCAGCTGCTGGGGAACCTGGGCAGGAGGGCCCCTCCCCGCCGGCAGCGGGCTGCCCCCGTGTGAGGGGAATGCTGGGCCGGAGGGCCCCCGGCTCTGCCCGGCAGAGCTCTCCCGCCCCCTTGAGCCCTTGCTGCAGTGCCTCTGGGGTCCCAGTGCAGCCCCCCGCCCCCTCTCCCCTTTGCCGTCCACCCAGGTGCTCCCCCAGCACGGCATTCTGTCCTCGGGCTGATGGGAGTGCAGAGCCCCCCCTCCGGCGCAGGTCAGTTCCCGCCCGCAGGGGCAGCGGGACGTCTCAGCAAATCTTAGCCGCGTCGAGTCTGCCGGGCAGGATAGCGCGTCATGCGAGCTGCGAGGAGGATCTCGCCGCCATCCTAGCCCTCCGCCAGCCGCCGCATGTCAGCGTGCTTTTGTCAGAACCTTTGCTTTAACCAGCGGGACGCTCCCCGCAGCCAGAATACGGCTGTCTCCATGGCCGAGTCTTTCCAGCCTCATCCCACATGAGGCCTCCACGCGTCCGTCCGTGACTGGGACTTGGACGTCACGCTGCCCTGCCTTGAGCCCGGCATGCATGCGCGTCTTTGCTGCACCGCAACCATCCCGAGCTAGGACATGTCTGTCCAGAGGGGGGCAGCCTTGCATTAACGCAAGAAAACGCAGTTCTCCTTTTTTCCACTGGAGTTTGGGAGTTCTCTCGCGGCTCTCCCTCCGCAGGAATCCTCTCATGATATTGAGAGATGCATGAATTAGATCAGCTGCTGGTCTGAGACATTAGGAAGGGGAGTTCACCGCAGCCCCCTTTCCTCCCGTCTCCAAGCAGAAAGCAGTCCACTTGGTTGTCCCCCCCCAGTCCCCCCTTTGCCACAGCCGCACTGGAGCAGAGAGGATCGCGCCCCCGCCGGCTCTGCGCCGCTGCCCTGGATCTCACATCTTGCCTCTCTGTGGAAGGCAGCACCAAGAGGCTCGTGCCTCGCTCCCGTTGCAAGCCGACTCCCCCACTCCCTTTGGCCGAGAAATTCAGCCCGGAGTGATGGCAACGGACGCTGCGCTGCTGGGTTGTTTAGTCACAAGTCGATCCCGTCATACACAGTGGGGTTACTTCCAGGGTGCGGAAATGCAGCTTTACGGAATTTGAGCCTGCGGGCTGAGGCTCGTCCTGGACTTTTCCTGTGAGGTCAGTGTGGGAGAATTTCAGTCGTACATTATTAAAGAGTCAGATGCAAATGCAGACTCCCAAACACAGGGAGAATCTTAAGCGTATTGATTCCGTTTATTGATTGAAATATTTTTGCACTGCCATAGCCCCATTGAACATTTTTCTTGTGTGGGTTCTTCCCACTGCCAAAGCCGCCATGCCGGAGCGGGGACTCTTAAGGTGGATAAAAATGGGCTTTTTTGCGCTTACCGGATTTTGCCCATCCTGGATTAGCCACGTTCCACCCCAGCCTCACACCTCCTTGCAAAGCTCAAAGTAGGGCCTGCTTTTTAAACGAATGGAGATTTCCCAGCAGCACTCCAGCGCCCACCGTCCACAATGAGTCCGGGAGATGGTGGGCATCCGAGGCCTAGCTTGCCCTGTCCAAGGAGAATGGCTGCAGGCAAACCAGCCGCCACAACGCCACAGAAGGCTTTTGCGTTTATTATTACACTGCATTTCTAGCCTGCAAGGAACCCCAAGGCAGCTTGCACGGTTTTGCTCTCTGTTTTATCCTCACAACAACACCCCTGTGAGGTTGGCTAGGCCAAGACTGGCCCAGAGCCACCCAGTGGGCTCCGTGGCTGAGCAGCGACTTGAACCCGGATCTCCAGAGTCCCCGTCCCGCACTCTTAACCACTGCGCCACACGAACCATTGGCTGGAAAGCTGATGCCCTGTGGAGGCATCTATTCCAAGTGCGGAAACAGGTACCATGAAGACACGCAAATGCTCTTGGCTGGTCCCCTTGGCAGTGGTCAAACCCACAGCGAGGTTGCCTGGCATTTGGAACCAGTTAGAATCGGGGTGGTGCTACGAAAGGAAAGATCGGGGCTGCAGCCCACCTGAGCTGCCCCATAGCGCCACTCCTACCTTGAGCAGTTTTCCCGTTTCCTTGCATAGCGAAGGGATGCTCATTTCCAAGCCGCCTTAAGAGCTGTGAGTGGATCTTGCCAGTGCCGCCATCTTGTGGCTAAAGATTTCCTTTTGAAACCAACAGCTGTGATCTGAAAGGAACTTTTGTGATGGCTTTAGGTCTTAAAACCCTGCGTTTTAGCTTGCAGGAGAGAAATGGCCTCATCGCCCTTTTTTTTCCCACCTGCTTCAAAACACCAAATGGTTGAGCGTATTCCTGCCTGCTCAGCTTTCTTCAAAAAAAGAAGCAATCATAATTAAGCATCCATGGGATGCCTCTCTTTAACATTGATGACTCTTCTCAAAAAACACGTTGTCTTCTTAAGATTCATCTGTTTTTTCTCCTCCGGCTTCTTTTTCCCAGTCCCACAAAGTCTCCCTGACAAACTCCTTCAACTTTCCTTAAGTCCTCCAATTCCTGGCATGTTGCAGAAACCACAATTCCCATGCTTCTCTCCATGGACTGATGGACTGCACCGGGGTTTGCTGGACTCCGCGGCTTCCTGGAGAAGCCATCCATGCATCAACCACACTGTTGCCATGCTCGAAGCATCTTTCGGTTTAATGGTAGGGCAACGTAATGCCTCCATCACACCTGTGAGAGGGTCACCATTTTCTGGGGTGACCCTTTCTCAGTCCCCCCACCACATTTGGGGGCAGACAGGGCAGCTCCCCCCAGCCCAGGTTGTCCTCTTGCCCGCAGGCAAAAGTCTTCTGCAGGCAGCCCTTGGCTGTGCTGCTGGTGGCAGTTCCATCGGCTGGTGCCGTTCCTTTCGTGTACATCTGCATTTTCATCGTGCATTTGATTTATGTGTTTCTGTAGAGTTAGTTTTGTTGTGAACTGCAGGTTCAGGGCCACTTTGAGCACCACGCTTTGGCAGAAATGCAGGGTAGAAATTATTCTAAGTTTCATTTGTAAGTTGCTGGAAGGGGAAAGGCATTGTTCAGGCCAAAAAGCAAACCATAAAGGTTTGACTCAGATGCTGCATTTAATGTAGATATATGCTTCTAATAAATGCAGTGGAATAAATACAGGTTTATCCAAGTGCAAATTATGTGAAGTAGACAGATTGTTTTCTCTCTCTTTTCCAAGGCAAACATCAGTGCTTGTGTGCACGCACACCCCACACATGCACAGGGCTTTCAAATAAAATGGAGCTGCTCCTTAACTAGCTTGGCGTTGCTTGCTACAAGAAGTGGGCTAGTTTTACACAAAGGGTTGTTCTGCCGCTGTGTAAAGACAAGACTCTCATTGCACCTCTCTGGAGTTGCAATTCTCCAGAACAGGAAACAACAAGGTTTGCCGTCTCCACTGGGAAGCAAAACGGTGCTTGTTGTCGCTTCCACGGAGAAGCCCTGTGGACTGATGCTCTCCCAAAGGGCAGGCCTGCAAAGGATTCGGCGCTTTTGAAATCCTCTGACGGCCTCGCAGTCGAAGCGCCAGTGCCGAGGAGGCTTAAGCCCTGAGAGAGCAAGCCTGTTGGAAGCGGCCACCTGGCAGAAGGGCCGGCACAGGCCGGGGAAGAGGAGGTGCTTCTGGGCTCTGCTTACACACAGGCGGGTGCACCTTTCCCCGAGAGTGCGTCCCGCGGGCCTCACCCAACCTTTTCTGCACCTCACCGCCCCCCAGCTCGTGGCCCGTGCTGATCAAGGCAGCCCCAAGCGCAGCCGTCGATCTTGGCCTGCGTTCTCCACACAAGCTCCTCTTTGGCACCAGCCTCTGCGGGAGGGCTATTCTGCCTCAGCACACCCTTGGCCGCTTCATCGCTCCATTCCTCGCGCACGTCTAGGGACAAACTGGCCCGGGGGACCCTTCCTTGCAAACCTTATTTCATCCAAATCCACGATGCTTATTTAATAATGAATTTGGGAAGTGGAAAAGAGCGCCTGAGCCCCTGCCGGGCTTGCCCGGTGGCTCTGCTTGTCAGGAACAGCCCTTGGGGGTGCCTGCATGTCAGGGCTGTGGCTTGGGGCAGAGTCCTTTGCAATGCAGCCCGCTTTTTGGAACTCCCTGGCTCCACAAACATGGAAGAGGTGGTCTTTTCGGGGTTGCCACCTCCCGAAAACACATTTTCCAGAAGGTGTTCCCAGGAAGGCAGCCTAGCTTTTGGTGTGTCTTGAATGCACGTGATTCCCAAATCCCATGCACTGGATACCCTTTCTCGCTGGGCATTCTTCGCTGCAGAGGCTGCGGCGTGCCCACTTTGGGTCGGGTCGGGCCCGATCCGTGAACTCAGAAGACAGCCCCCCGTTCTGCGTTGCCCTGCAGCACCGGCGTGGCTTTCTCGCCCAGGAAAAGCAGAGCCTCCGCAGCCACCGCACCCCTCGTGCCGAAATTGCCTGGGACGGCCGGGCGCCCAGCAACAGCGGGGACCGGTCCGCGCCCGCCTCCCCCACGCCGTGGGGAGGTCGAGGCATGCCGGGGCCTCATTGAGCAACTGCGCTGAGGGCACCGGTCCCAAGCCAAGGAGAGCGCAGGCAATGCTCGGGAGACGGAACGAGCTGCAGTGCCCGGTCTGGCGCCCGCTGCTGCTGTACTCGTGACCTTCCGCGTGCATGTGCTCAGCGTGACGCTCTTTACAGTAAAAGTCAACAGTTGGAAGGCTGCCTTTTGCCCTCCTCCTTCAATCCATGCTTGTTTGATTAGTGCACTGGGAGCACAGTGTTCCAGCTCGGAACAGGAAACCCAGAAGGAACAACCCGCCCCCGGCACTCCCGTGTTGGCCACTGGATGTCCCTGGGAATGATCCTGGCTGTACCGTGACCCCCCAGCCCTCCCGGCATTCTCTGGCCATGCACCGTGTGACGTGGAATTTCAAAAAGCTGCAGAGAAGATGCCGGCTCGCCTCATGATCAGTCTGCCACAGAAGTGGCGCCTCAAACACTCGGAGAGGGTCATGGGCCACCTCCAGCGCTCTCTCAGAGACACACTGCTGCACACATGGACCGCCATCCACGCGTCCGCTCTCGAGGACACAGGTGCACACACACACTCTCCCTGTCCACACTTACGCATGCGTGTGCCCTGCTCCCGCTGTCCCATGCGTGCATGTGCAAACGCTTGTGCGCACATGTGGCGGAGACGGTGCCCGAGTCATCCTGCCCGCCTGTGTCTCCCGTGCGCACACGCTCCCCAGGCACAAAGAAGCAGAGGTGCTGGGCTGTGCGGGAGAAGGGCAGGGCCGTTGCCTGTCGCCCCTCTCTGCGGGCCAAGTGCGCAGGAGAGGAAGAGAGCAAAGTCACCGTTGGGAGCAGCGGCCCCATTCAGGGGCCGGGCCACGCAGGGGCCAGAAAGCTCTCCTGGCCAGGGGACCCTTCTGGAGCACGAGGTGAGGTGAGGGGGCGGATGACGCGCACCTCCACCTGCAGAGGCTCCCGTGAGCATTCATCCCTGCTGGAACGTGGCAGTTTTGAGATCCGCCATTAGTGGCATCTCTTCAGACTGGCCTGTTTGAGCTGTTGGCAGCATACGTATATCCTTGGCTCTGAGGGTGGCGGGGTGGGGGTGCAGACACCAGTGCCATCCGGGCAGGTAAACGGGGACGATGGGATAGCGCCGGCCTCGGAGTTCCCCACGGTGCCTGCTTCCGGGTTTCTGTGCCGTGTTGTAAGGAAGGCTTCGAAGAGGCGCTTCAGCCTTTAGAATGGGGAGAAAATGCACAAAGGCCGGGAAAAGGCTCGTGACTGTTGGAGCGGGAAAGAAGTGGGCAGCTGGCGCGCCCTGAGGGCAGGATGTGGCCCTGGGGCTGAGTGCCTGCTTGCTTCCGGGCCTCACTCTAGAGAGTCAAAGCAGAGGAAGGTCCTTGGCGGAGCAGGCCTGCCGGCCTCGCTGCCGACTCACCTGGTGAGGATGCTGGGCTCTGGGAGGGCCACAGGTGTGACGCGCGGCAAGGAGAGGGAGCCCCCCCCCCCAGACTTGCTAGGTGAGCTGGCCTCCTGCTCTCAGCCCTGCGCCTGCAGTTCGCAAACAGCTGTGCTGGCCCACCTTGCAGGACTGTTGTAAGAGGGGTGTGGATGAAGGGCTGTGTTGTAAGCTGCCTAGGAGGCCTCAGGAATTATAGGCAGCCTGTAAACGTGTGATCAAATAGACAGACAGACAGACAGACAGACAGGTAGACGATTGAGGAAAATACAAACGCTCCTGCTGCGGTTTGATTATCGACAAGGAAACACGGCGTTGGGACTCATTCTGCCCAGTGCAGGGGCAGCTGTGCTGGATCAGGCCTGGGCCCACCGTGGCCGACCGGCTGCCCACTGGAAACCCCCGAGGGTACGAGCCCCCGCTTGCCCAGGGTCCCAGGAAACGGGTATGTAGGCACACGGCCTGCGATTCTGTCAGTCGTACGTGGCCCTCAGGACTAGCAGCATGGAGAACTTTCCCCTCCGGGGTCTCGTTCAGCCCCTTTTGACAGCCGTCCAGACGGCGGCCATCGCTGGTCTCGTGGAAGGGAAGCCCCTTGGGGAGCCGTTCCTCTGCTCTGTCCTGAATTTGGTGCCGCCGCCTTCTTCCTGCGTGGAGCCCACCGGGTCCTGGTGTTCGGAGAAAGCGAGAAAACTCTGGCACGCCACCAGCCGGGTCCCATTCGCCTCCGTCCGACCTCCCCTCGCTCACCCCTTTTCTCAGGCGGGCAAAGCCCCCAGACCCCTGCCCTTCTCCCACAAACTCTGGCTGGGACTGGTGCTGCCCCTGCTGTCCGGGCCCGGGAAGGGTCTCCGTCTCCGCGCCCCTCGCCCCGTTCCTCGCGCAGGATGCCAGCTCTTCACCCGCGGCCCTGCCTTCCTCTTCCCTGCAGCCTGTTCGACATGGGCGGCGAGTATTACTGCTACGGCTCGGACATCACCTGCTCGTTCCCGGCGAACGGGAGGTTCTCTCCCGACCAGAGGGCCATCTACGAGGCGGTGCTGAAGTCGTCCCGGGCTGTGCTGAGTGCGGTCAAGCCAGGTGACAAGGCCGGGGCGCGCTGGGGTGCGGGGGGTGGGCACTGGGTGGACAGCGGAAACTTCCTGCCCTGGACTGCAGCGTCGCCCCCAGAAGCCCCCCGAAAAACATTCCTCGGGCGGAAACATTTCCATCACCCATAGGCAAAAGGGAATGCTGCCCCGTGACCTCTGCCCAGTGCGCCATGCTGGCTGGGGCCAATGGGAGCTGTAGTCCAGGGCATCGGGGGCGCTGCACCAGCTCCAGAAGCCTGTGTCTCGTTCAAACACGCTGCCGCCCTGCATTCCGGTGAGAGGCTGCCCGCTTGTCCCGCGCAAATCTCCATGGAAAGGAGATGACGAGGGGCCGATCGGCCCAGTTGATTCCCCCGTGCGCCCCCCCCCCAAGTTTATTTATAGCCTGGCGTGCCCAGAGCCCTTGCTGAACTGTCAGGGCGTGTGGCGCCCTGGGGACGGCGGGAGGGCTGTCGGGCTCTGATGGATGGGGCTCGCTGCCAAGCCGTCAACCCGGAAGAACGCAGGCCGTTTCCAAATGTGTGCAAGCGTGCAGGCGGCTTCCCTCCAGCCCGGTTTCTCCCCTCCCTGCATCCAATGAAGAGCGCCGCTCAGGAGGCCTCCCCAGCCTGGTGCCCTCCAGGTCCACGGACTGCAGCTGGGAGTTGTATCCGGCAGAATCGGGGGGCGCTGTGCCGGGCAGTCTCCTGAGGAGGGGAAAAGGCACGTACGTCCCGGCCGTATTCCGTGCGGTAGCTTTGCTCCGCCTGTGCAGGCAGATTCCCGGCGGACGGCGCCCCTCCCGGCTCTGCAGCAGATTCGTGGCTCGGGCATCTCACCAGAGGGGAAGGCCGTTGGCAGGGAGGGCTTCTGGGCGCCCCCCTCCTGCGCAGGGTGCTGGGACGGTGGCCTGTCTCCTGCGAGTCGGACCTGCCCACCGCTTAGCGAGGCGGCTGTGCTCCAAGGCACTCCGAGCCGTCGTTTCTTCTGGGCGCACGTGCCCTCCAGCCCCTCTTATGGAGGGAGCAGCAAACTGACCCCACTTGGAATAGGACCTCAAGGGGCACGGATGAACTCGGGAGTCCCGGGTTCTCTCCCCTCTTGGCCACAGAGCTCCTGAGATGCCTTCAAGCAGACGGGAGCGGAATGCCTTGAAAGCCAGGCACGAAGCTGGCGGCCCATTTTTCCGTCAAGGCAGCTGACCCAAGCCCCTTCCCCTCGTTCATCCTCACAACAGCCCTGTGAGGTAGAAGAGTCTGACTCCACAGCAAGCCCCGCTTCACCCCATGAGCTTTGTGGCCAAGCGGGGATGAGAGCCCTCGCCTCCTGAGTCCCAGTCCAAAAGATGAGGACCGCACAAGGGCTGTGCATTGAGGTGCGGAGGTCCCGCGGAGGCCCCGCTGCGATTTTGGGAGGCACCCAGTGCCAGTGAGGTGCGCAGTCCCTTGCCCGTGCTCTGTAGCATGGTTTGTTTCACCCACAGTAGTTCGGCACGTCTGAACGCAAGTAACCATCCCCACCATGGGCTGCAGGAGACAGGGGGCAAAGTGCTTAGCCGTAGCAGTGCAAAGGGAAGGCAGATCCCTCGCCTGGGGTGCCCCGGCACCAGCCCTCCCCACCTCGGCTCCCTGCTCGTAGGAAGGCAGTGGCGGGATTCCCCTGCCCCTCGGCACGCACAGGTCCCTGAGAAGAGGCCACGGGAGCATCATCCCGCAACCCCTCCCAAAGGGAGCAGGCGCTTGGCGAGCCCGCCACCAGGCTCCGTTCTCTGGCGAGACGGGGTGGGCCGCTGGTTTCCTTCTGCACAAGCCCCCGGAGCCTCAAAACTGAGTAGAAACGTTGGGCGCCCTGGGAATTATCAGGGACACCCCAAAGACCCTGATATTCCAGTGCTGGGAGAGGGGGGCAATAAAACACCTCGCCCCTTTTTTTGCAATGCAGTAGTTACTTACTTGCTTATTAGATTTATATCCCGCTTGTTCCTTACAACAAACTCAAAGCGGCTTATAACATCGTTCCTGTCCTGTGGCTGTCGCTGCCCCTTTGAGGAGCACTTTTTAAGGAAAGGCGTCTTGCTTCCATGGAGACGGAAGGCAGCGGGACCGCTTGCGAGCCTCTGGGCATTGGCAAGGATGTCGGTCGTTGGCTCGCTGACCTACATGGCACAGCATTGCCTTTGGCAGCACACCGGGAGTGGAGCAGACAGCAGATCTCCCCCGAGCACAGACGTCTCGCGCGGCAGCGGTCCAAAGTCCAAGGGTTCTGTGTCCCGGCTGTGTAAACCTTGGCTGGTCCGTGAGCCAGGCAGCGCTGAATTGCCCGAGGATCTGGGTGGGAGCGGGGCGGCCAGGCCCATAACCACCCAGATAGCCAAGGGCAGTTCAGGCAAGGGTCTGCTTCTGCCCAAAAGCCCCCCGAAAGCAAACGGGTGCTGGGGAGAGAAATGCATCTGCCACTGCCAGCTGCTTGAAGGCAAAGCAGGGTATACACGCGACCGAACCCCACCTCGGGGAAGGCGTGAACAGTGCACTCCCTCAGTGCTTTTCTGAAGGGGACCGAAAATGATCTTGCCTGCATGCAGAAGGACGGGGGGGGGGGGGGCAGTCGCCCTTCTGAGTGCTCGGGCAGGGGAGGGGCACCTCTCCAGAGCACAAGTCAGGGAGACGTCTCTGAGCACCGGAGCGCCACCGCCTGCCTGCACACGCACACGCACGCCTCCTCCTCCAGGTTGCCTCTCCCGGCGCTTCAGCGTCAGCTGGGAGATGGCTGTCTGCCAGGGCTCGGCCCTCAACGCTGGTCCAGAACGGGAATTTGCTGTGGGGCTGCCCCCTGACTGATAACGCCCTTGTTTGCTCCACAGTTCCCATGCGGAAGTTGCGTGTGTGTTGGGAACGGAAGGTGTGTGCACCCATGCCAGCGCGGGGACGAACCTCCATGTGCCACTTTCAGATCCACCGGGGCACCCTGCCGCCCTCGTCACGCAGAGCTGGCTCTTCAGGGGCTGGAGGCAACCCGCGGCTACAAGCCTCACTGGCCCTGGGCTCCCTCCTTCCCCAGAGGTGGCAAGCATGCACACACCGGTTGCTGAGGCGCTTGGGGCGGAGGCCTCGCAAACATCCCGCTCGCGGGGTCCCGGGGCAGCTGGTTTGCCCCGCGTGTGTGGCGAGCCGGGCTGGGCGGCCCCAGGTCTGACCCAGCGGCACTCCCGTGCCCAGAAGCTGAGCGGCAACGGCCTCTGCTGACATGGAGCCCCTCACCGTCAGCTCCTGGCCGTTGACACGAGCGTGCGGGGCCGCCGGAGCTCCCGCCCGGCCCGTGGGACTGTGGTCTGGGCCGTGTGGGGCGGGAAGCCTCACCGTGGGCTGGGGCCGCTGGGCGAACGGCCTCCGCTGGCCCACGAGCCTGCTCGGGAAGTGGGTAAGATGGTGATGCCGAGCAGATATTCCGCCACTGGCCTTTATTCCAGAGTCGTCTGCGAAGGGTGGATTTTTATTGGTGCCGACGATGGGAGGATTCTTCCCTTCCGAAACATTCAGCACATTCGGCTCGGAAGAAAGCTCCCCCAAAGCGCTCTCCCCACCGCGGGGGGTGAGAGTGCTCTTGAATTTGGAGGGCCTGCTGGACTCAGAAACTGCTGACTCCTGCCTGAGCCTGCCAAATCGGAGCAGGAGAAAGCTGGAGCTGCGTGGCCTTCGCCCCAGTCCCCTTCGCTCGGCAGCCGGCCTGGTGGGGGTGATGCGCTCCCCGCGACGCATGTGCCCCGAGGCCTCCCACAGGGGAGGGGGAGCCCTCCGCGACGGGCACGCAGCACAGCCAAGCCACATGAGCGCTGCCACCGAAACCACAGAGTTTGCCAGCGGTTTTTGGAACGCCTGTTTGGGAGAGGGCTGGGGAACCTGTTTCAGCCCAGGGGCAACTTGACAAAATGCAAACGTCTCTCTTTTTCATTTGAAATTGCTTTTGCACTCATGTGTAGGCCGTGACTTTTTTTCTTTGAAAATCCAGCGGGAAAGGTGGGCATGTCCGGTGCTGTCTGTCTGATTTTGGGAGAGCGTTAATAAAAGCCACTCAGTGACGGCCCCTGTGTCCTGCTCTCCCCAAGGGGTCTCCTGGCCTGCGATGCATCGGCTGGCCGACCGCGTCCATCTGGAAGAGCTCACAAAAATTGGCATCCTCCAAGGCAATGTGGATGACATGGTGGAGGTGCACATGGGCGCTCTGTTCATGCCGCACGGGCTTGGCCACTTCCTCGGAATCGACGTGCACGATGTGGGCGGCTACCCGGAGGTCAGTGTCGGGCCCTTCTCCGCCGTCTCCACTCGCCCACTGGGCAGTGAGTCTCTGTTGCACGGAAACGGATGTGAGGAGGCACGAAGCCACGCTCCTCGCTGCGCTCTCAGGGCCAGACCCCTCGGCGGGAACTCTTGCCCCTTCCGCGCAGCTTTGCGGGGTCCTCTAATTTTCCATTTGGTTTACCACTCTGCCCATCTAACCAGTCATCAGGCCCCTGGTGGGATGGATTTGGCCCGCAGGCCTGAGGTTCTGCACTGCTGTTCTAGCCGCAGAGATGGCCTCTTGCATTCAGCTTGGCTCCCTTGCCAGGGTCAACTGGCCAAAGCATGGCGTGGGGGGTGGGGGGTGCCATCTAATAATATAACCTTTCTCCTGGGGAGGGAGAGAGCTCTGACCCCAGTGGGTGAGCCAGGTTGCATGCAAGAAGGGGTGCGCGGGTGGGAGGGGGCGCATCAGGGGGACAGACAGTTCTTACTGCATGGCGAGAGTTCATGGGGCCACCCTGAATGAGAGGGTTGCCCTCTCGCCAGCTCAGGGTGGGAACGGGCACTGCAGAGAGACTCTCCAGTCCATAGGGTGGGGAGGAAACGGGTGGCCAGAGGGACTGCAACTCTCCCATCTTTCCTAGGGCGTTGAGCGCATCGACCTGCCCGGGCTCCGGAGCCTGCGAACTGCCCGCGACCTCGTGCAGGGAATGGTGCTGACGGTTGAGCCGGGCATCTACTTCATCGATCACCTCCTGGATGAGGCCCTGGCCAATCCCGCCCAGGCCTGCTTCATCAACAACGAGGTCCTGGCACGCTTCCGAGGCTTTGGCGGGGTGAGTGGCCAGCTCAGCGCACTTGTGTCCCATTTCTGCCATGTGCGGGAGAGGGCACCACAAACGTAGCCTGAGCCATGGGCGTGTGGGTCTGGGAACGCCCGCAGCCAAACCGTTCTGCGCACAGGATCTCGGGAGAGTGTGCAGTGAGCCTGCGCTAGAGCTCCTTAGCACCCCTGTTTGCAGGCAGGGGTAGGGTTTGGGGGACCCAGACATCAAGAACGGCCGGCTAAAACGGTGGCTGAGCTGAGATCTGATGCAGAGACTTGTGGATTTCTGCCACGGTGCCCTTGCCTGGCTCGGAGAGGAGCCAGGATTCCCTCCCAGTCCAGAAGATGGGCAGCCCGCTCCAGGGAGCCGTCCTGAAGCAGATGCACCCATTCTGGAGGTGCCTTTCCCAGCGCCTTGTTTCCTTCTGCCCCAAGCCGGCGTTGAGGCAGGGAATGGCTTCCAGGAAGCGAGCCCTGTTCCCGCCCCACCCCTGAATACGGCCTGCATCCAAAGCCTGCACCGAGCAGAGCGGGAGCTCCCGCCGAGCATCTTGCGCGCAGATGGCGCCCCATCCCCACGGCCGCTGGTTTGCTGAGTCACTGGGACTCGGCTGCGCCCGCAGGGCTTGGAAGGCTCTGTGTGCAGAGCACACAGTCTTATCAGGCCGCCCGGGACTTTACCGTCTGCTGCCAGATCCCCTCCCCCGGTTCGAGAGGTTATCTGCACGCTGTGCCGCTCCTTTCTCGGGGTGTGTGAGCCGACCAGGATCCCGGGGGCCAAGCGGTGCGCGTCACTTGCCCTTCCCAGGGCCGCGGCCGGGTCCCCACAGATTCTGCAGCGTCATCCGGGTGGCCATCTGGGCCTGCCACGAAGCGGCCCCAAAAGTTTGCCTTTCCCGCGTGAGAGGCGGGAGCGTGAAACCCAGCCACTGCCTCGGGGTGGCCTCCACGGCGTGGCAAGAGCTCCAGAATGCAGCCCCAGCAAGGGCAGGGACGGGGTTCCCCAGGCCCTCGCGGGACCGTTGCCCTCGCTGGGCAGAAGCGGCAAGGGCAGAACGAGCAGAAGCGGCTCTTAAAACAAAAGCAGGACCCACGGTCAGCCGTTTCTGCTCGCTTTCGCTACTGCGTTCCTTCTCAGTTGATCGGTTTTGCTTGCACTGCTTCAGCGTCATTTCCTGAACTTAACGTGGGTCAGGGCCTCCTTTGGAGACAGCCCAGCTGAGCAAGATGAAGGATGGGAAAGGTTCCCTTGCTGGTCGTAGGGACCAAGACGGGCGGGCGGCTTCGCCCCACTTCTGTGCGACAGTCGCCGCGCCCCCTGACCCAGTCCTCGTTGCAGCTGCTTTTTACCCACTTTCGCAGCTGGCCGTGCTTGACTTCCCCTTTTTTCCTGGAGTGCCATTTCTGGTGCAAAGGCAGGGTTCAGATCAGATGAATGCAAAAGCATTCTGGCTCCCAGAAAACAAGACCAGGGGAAGTATTCTGTGCCACATTTGGAAAGGAGGAATATTTGTGGCGTGCTTTTTGGTTTCCCCTTAGGTTTTCTGCTTGCTTGCTTTGGGAGAACTAGCCGGTCCTCAGCTATTCCCATCCTTGCCGATTCCCTTGCTGAGCCTCTCGGCCCTCAGAGCTGTTCCTGGAACGCTGTTAGCCCCTTCCGGTCCTTTCACGCCTCTCCCTTTGGCATCTTGCAGCCTTCTCGTGCTTTGCTTGTACTGCAGCCTTCCCCACTCTTGCTCCCTGCTTCCAGTGGTGTCAGACTACATCTCCCATCATCCCCAACCGGGATATGATAATGGTCTTTCCATACTTGCAAAGACCCACTTCACTGCTCCAGTTTTCCTTCTGAAAATGGCGTGTGGATTTGCTCGCCTTCAAGGGTCAGCTGGGAGTCAGAACCAAGGGGTTTTGCTTCCCTGTAAATCGAGGGTGTCGTGAGCCGGGATTCCGGGAGCTGGAGATGCAAGTGCGCTTGGAGCAGCTGTTGAAAGGGCTGCCACCTGGGCTGCAGGCCAGGAACGCGGTGCCCTGGATGAATCGGGGAAGCCCTTCCTGCGCGCGGAGGGGGCAGGAGCTGGGATTTTTTCCTCAGTTGCTCTTACCTCTCCACCTGCCTTTAACCCTTTCTCAGGTGTGAGCGTGATATTTGCTAGCTACGTAAAAATGTACATTTCCAAAGGCCCTGTAGGTGGAGAGGACAAACTGTGAGCAGGTGCATTGGAGGGGAGACAAAAATGCATTCTCAGTGCAACTCCTTTATGGCACCACCGCTTGCATTTAGCAGCGCGTTTGTAGCTCGCTTTTATTTCTGTCGCAAAGAGACGAGGAGTCCCTTATGTGGTCCTCTTTCTCTCAATTCCTATCTTCACAACAAGCCTTCAGGGTAGGTCAGGCTGCAAGCTGGTGACTGGCCTAAACTGGGGACTCGAAACTGAACCTCCCAAGGCCCCAGTACAATGCTCTCACCACTACACCTCACTGGCTGTCAAAGTATGTAAATTTTGTGTGCTTTTATGTACACCTACTTCAAAAGAATGGTGTTGCAACCTGTGGGCAAGACTGGGGTGTGCAGGTAAAGAGTTTTATAGAGCAGTCTACAAGAGAAAATACTTTCAGAGAGTTTGTCTCCTCCATTTTTTGACAAAAGGGTGGGAAATGATGGGGTGGGGAGTCTGATTTCTTCCCATGTGTGTGAAAGAAGCCCTCCATTGGCCTTCAATAGGCATGAATCTGTGTGTGAGGACTGTGAAGTTGTGACAGCTGAGCTATGATGTCTTTCTTTTCTTTTTTTAATAAGTTTTAGTCGTAATAGACCTAACAAAAAAGAAAACTAAATCAGTCATCGAAAACATCAGACCTACTGGGTCAGCCCCCCACATTTTTTCTTTTTATGTCAATCTATTGTTGTTGTTAGTCGCAAAGTCGCATCCGACCCATCGCGACCCCGTGGAAAACATTCCTCCAGGCCTTCCCGTCCTCCACAATCCCTGAAGTCCACCTAAGCTCACACCCTCTGCCCCAGTGACTCCATCCAGCCACCTCATCCTCTGCCGTCCCCTTCTTCTTTTGCCATCTATTGACCCCAGCATTAGGCTCTTCTCCAGGGAGTCCTTCCTTCTCATTAGGTGGCCAAAGTATTTGAGTTTCATCTTCAGGATCTGGCCTTCCAAAGAGCAGTCAGGGCTGATCTCCTCTAGGACTGACCAGTTTGATCGCCTTGCGGTCCAAGGGACTCGCAGGAGTCTCCTCCAGCACCACAATTCAAAGGCCTCAATCCTTTGGCGCTCAGCCTTCCTTATGGTCCAGCTTTCACAGCCATACATTGCAACTGGGAAAACCATCGCCTTGACTATACGCACTTTTGTCGACAGGGTGAATTTCTCTGCTTTTTAGTATGCTGTCTAGATTTGCCATAGCTTTCCTCCCCAGGAGCAAGCGTCTTTTAATTTCTTGACTGCAGTCCCCGTCTGTGATGATCTTGAAGCCCAGGAAAATAAAATCTGTCACTACCTCCATTTCTTCCCCATCTATTTGCCAGGAAGTGAGAGGACCGGATGCCATGATCTTAGTTTTCTTAATGTTGAGTTTCAAGCCAACTTTTGCACTCTCCTCCTTCACCCGCATCAAGAGGCTCTTTAGTTCCTCTTCACTTTCTGCCATGAGAGTGGTATCATCTGCATATCTGAGGTTGTTGATATTTCTCCCAGCAATCTTAATTCCAACTGGTGATTCATCTAGGCCCGCCTTTCTCATGATGTGCTCAGCATATAAGTTAAATAGGCAGGGCGACAGTATACAGCCTTGCCAAACTCCTTTCTCAATTTTGAACCAATCAGTGGTTCCATGTCCAGTTCTCACTGTTGCTTCTTGACCTGCATATATGTTTCTCAAAGGACAAATAAGATGGTCTGGTACTCCCATCTCTTTAAGAACTTGCCACAATTTGTTGTGATCCACACAATCAGAGGCTTTAGCATAGTCAATGAAGCAGAAGTAGATGTTTTTCTGGAACTCCCTATCTTTCTCCATGATCCAGCAGATGTTGGCAATTTGATCTCTAGTTCCTCTCCCTCTTCGAAATCCTGCCTGTACTTCTGGTAGTTCTCGGTCCACATACTGCTGGAGCCTAAGCTTGTAGGATTTTGAGCATCACTTTGCTGGCATGTGAAATGAGTGCAATGGTGCAGTAGCTTGAACATCCTTTGGCACTGCCCTTCTTTGGGATTGGAATGTAAACTGACCTTTTCCAATCCTGTGGCCACTGTTGAGTTTTCCAGATTTGCTGGCATATTGAGTGTAGCACTTTTACTGCATCGTCTTTTAAGATTTTGAATAGCTCAGCTGGAATACTGTCGCCTCTACTAGCTTTGTTGTTGCTCAGACTTCTTAAGGCCCATTTGACTTCACATTCCAGGATGTCTGGCTCGAGGTCAGTGACCACCCCATCGTGGTTATCAGGGACGTTAAGCTCTTTCTTGCCTAGTTCCTCTGTGTAATCTTGCCACCTCTTCTTAATCTCTTCTGCCTCTGTTAGGTCCCTGCCATTTTGGTCCTTTATTATGCCCATCTTTGCATGAAACGTTCCCTTCATATCTCCAATTTTCTTGAAGAGATCTCTGGTCCTTCCTATTCTATTGTTTTCTTCTATTGCTTTGCACTGTTCATTTAAGAAGGCCTTCTTATCTCTTCTAGCTATTCTCTGGAACTCTGCATTCAATTGGGTGTATCTTTCTCTTTCTCCCTTGCCTTTCGCTTCCCTTCTTTCCTCAGCTATTTGAAAAGCTTCCTCAGACAGCCATTTTGCTCTCTTGCATTTCTTTTTCTTTGGGATGGTTTTAGTTGCTACCTCTTGTACAATGTTGAGAACCTCCGTCCATAGTTCTTCAGGCACTCTGTCTATCAGATCTAATTCCTTAAATCTATTTGTAACCTCTACTGTATATTCATCAGGGATATGATTTAGGTCATACCTGAGTGGACTAGTGCTTTTCCCTACTTCCTTCAATTTAAGCCTAAATTTTGCAACAAGAAGCTCATGATCTGAGCCACAGTCAGCTCCTGGTCTGGTTTTTACTGACTGTATGGAGCTTCTCCATCTTTGGCTGCAGAGCACATGATCAATCTGATTTCTGTGTTGACCATCTGGTGATATCCTTGTGTAGAGTCATCTCTTGGGTTGTTGGAAAAGAGTGTTTGCTATGACCATCATATTCTCTTGACAAATTCTACCAGCCTGTGCCCTGCTTCATTTGTATGTTAAACTATAAAGATATTTAAATCTATGCATAGTCTCGTTTCTCTAGCCAATGATAAAAAGAGTCCCAGGTTTGATAGAAGTCTGTATCTTCTTTCTCCTTCAGAGACAAAGTCAATCTGTCCATTTCTGCACAGTCCAGGATCTTTTTTAGAATCAGTTTGTCGGTAGGTGGCTCTTCACTCTTCCAGTGTTGGGCAAATGCAATCCTCGCCGCAGTAATTACATGTAGAGTCAAATACATTGCTTGTTTACTAACATCATCAGGTACAATGCCTAATAAGAAAACTTCAGGTTTAAATGTTAGAGGTTTTTGTAACATTTCCTCAAGCCATTTGTGCATTTTAATCCCATACTTTTTTGCCTTATCACAGGTCCACCACATATGATAAAAAGTACCCGATTTGTGTTTACATTTCCAACATCTATTTGACATATTTGGAAACATCTTAGCTAATCTATTTGGTGACAGATACCATCTATAAAACATTTTATACAGGTTTTCTTTATACGAAGTTGCTAATGTTACCGTAATATTTCTCTCCCACAGCATTTGCCATTTTCCTAATTCAATATTATATCCAAAGTTTTGTGCCCACGTTATCATAGTTTCCTTAACCTGTTCATCTTCCATTCTCCTATCCAGTAAGAAGTTGTACAATCTTTTAACCATTTTCTCATCTGATTTAAGAATCACGTGGTCAAATGCTGTTAACTCCTTATAAAAGCCCCACATTCTATAGTCTTTAACGTATCTCAGTTGCATTTGAACCTTGTGCCACCAAGAAATATTAATTCCTTGTTCTTGTATTTCTTGATTCCATTTCAATCCCCCATCATTATCCAAAATACCATCATATCTCACAACCATATCAAAATTCAATGCATTTGGATATACAAGAGCTTCCATAGACGAAAGCCATCTTGGTAATTTAGTATACAGTTTTATCTTTAACTTTTTCCACACCGACATTTAATGGTTTCCTAATATAATGATTTAAGAGACAACCATGTACCCTACCCTTTTCATACCACATATAAGCGTGCCAACCCATTTGCAAATCATGCCCTTCGAGATGCAAGATTCTCTTATTTCTTAAAGTTATCCAGTCTTTTAGCCACGTCAAAACTGAAGCTTGATAATAAAAAATCCAATCGGGGAGACCAAAGCCCCCATTCTCTTTAGCCTCCTGAAGCATTTTTCATTTAATCCTTGGTTTCTTCTTTCTCCATATAAATCTCGAGAGTTGGATATTTAAATCATCAAAGAAATTCTATCAATTTTTATGGGAATCATTTGGAACAGGAACAAAAGCTTTGGTAATATGTTCATTTTAGCCAGTGCTGTTCTTCCCAGCCAGGATGATGGCAAATTAGCCCCATAGCTGAGCTACGATGTCTTGTGTCACATAAAGTGCAAGAGAAGCCCCCTGCAAATCCCAGAGCATCTTGCACGGGTGCATCTGTCTCTAGTTTTTATGGCACCTGTAAAAAGCTGCACAATCTGTCCAGAGCGCTCCATCTGCTGACACAGTTGCTTCCTCTGTGGGACCAAGCTGGGTTCCCTTCAAAACTGGCCAAGGGTTCGTTTGCAAAACTGACAATTTAATCTGCATCACTGGGAAACATCTACCAGTCTGGCATGATCCAGATGTGTGAGACTACAGGGCCCATCATCCACAGCCAGCACCCCATCATCAGGAGAGTTAGGGAAGACCCTTTGTCCACTCTTTCTTGCCTTCGGGGGTCATTTATTTTGGGGGAAGGAACTGAGAGGTCTGAAAAGGGTGCAAGGGTGGTTCTTTCTTCTCTTTGGGACATTAATAGTCTGATTTCTCAGCCAGCCAGCTAAGAAAGAATTGCTGGGAGCACGCCGGGTGTGAACTTTGCAACGTTTATTTAATGCAGACCTGGAATATACTTGAATTAATATCAAGTAAAGAAGATAATCAAACAGACCTGAATGTAAAGAACAGCTCTGATTGCCACGATAATCAGACCAACTTTAATAGGGCTCGATGACTCACTTTGCTTGAATAAAAGGGTAATTTTGCAAGCAGGAGGACAAATGTTAAACTGCCATTATTTTTAGATCACACTGACCAGAGGTCAGAAATAATTAAAGCAACGGCATGATGGGAGTCACTGGGGTTTGTGTTCCTTTGGATTTGACACTTGGCTAAAATCGCTTTTATTGCAGCTTAGAGACTTGCGAGCACGTTTCTGATAAGATAAGGGATAATGACTGAGTCGGCATATTTAGCTGGCGAAGATTAGAAGTGAGCAGAGAACAGCCCTGCCTTTTCTTTCACACCCAGGGAGAATGGCAGAGATCACAAAGCGCTTGGTAACACTATCATCTGGATGGCAGTCGTTGCCATGGCTTGTGTGTAAAGGCGAGAGAGAGCCCGGTTAAATTGGTGAACAGAGCCGCGCGAGTGTAGCGAAGCCACGTGACGCGCAGGGCTGGGTAACCGTCCTTGAGCAGGGCCTTGCTTGTGGTATGAGTCGGTATTGTCCAGTTGGATCTGGGCCCTTGCAGCTGCAGTGGGCTACGACTCCCAGAATCCTCCAGCTGCAGCCGAGGGAGGACTTTCCACAGAATAGGCTTCTCCAGATGGGCAGCAGCTTTCAGTGTCTCCATCCCTGCCTGCCTGAAAAAAAACCCCGTCTTTGAAGCTGAAATGGCTGCGCTGCTTCTGCTCCCTCCAACCTGGTCCAGGTGGAAAGCGCCTGCAGGGGAGGGCTGTGACTTGGGCGCCACATTGTTTCCTCCCCCACCAATCAGTAGCTCATGCTGCTGGGAACACGACCGTCATCCTCAGGTGCGCCTTGCCTCCCCCAACAGGTGAGCACACAAGAGCCATTCTTGGCGAGACCGAACGCCTCCCCAGTTTGGCACCCTCACACAGTGGCCAACTGGATGCCGTCAAAGAGGAAAGGGGAGCAACAGCACCCCAAAAAATACGACACACCGCCTGTGGGTGCAACCATTCCTTCCTTACTGCAAAGGAAAGCGCAGGACCTCTCCCAGCTAGAATCCGCTGGTCAAGCGTGTGCCTCTTTTCCCAGGTGCGAATCGAGGACGATATTGTCGTGACAGCCAATGGGATGGAGCTGCTGACTTGCGTCCCCCGTACTGTGGAGGAGATCGAGACGTTCATGGCCGAAAATCAGGCGAGCACCAAATCCTTTGCCAGCCAGAAGTCTTAATCACAAAGCTCGTGGATTCCCTCGCGTGGCGCAGTGACGCTGAGGCAGCAGGTCCCAGTTTGAAAATGCTCAGCCGTTGCTTTATTACCAAGAGCAGGTCTTGGGATATGTGGCCAGGAATACAAGGAGCCGCAGTCCTGTTGGGGCAGTGATCTTTTTGAGCTATGGGTATTCTAATCTTAAACAGGTATCAAAATCAATATATGCAAAGTGCTCTCTTCTGAAGCAGTAGCACATAGCAGGGGGATTTCTGATCTGCATTTCAGTAAATCATTATGCTGGAAACTGTTGGACCGAATAAACAAATCAATTAAAAAGTCATCTTAAATGCATGCTTCCAGTGTATTTCTCTGGAGTTCCATTGCTTCCTGGAAGGCTGGGGTGGGCTGCAGGGCACAGGCCGGTGGTTTTAGGCTAACATACGGAGATCGGGACAAGCTTGGCAAAGCCTAGCAGGTACGTCCACTAACCCTCATTAGAAGTAATGAGGTCCCGAGCCTCCGGAAGGTGGTGGAGCAGGGCAAGACACCTCCGCTGTCAAACAGACGGAGCTGCTGGCAGTAACTGAAGCAGCCGGCGGGAACTGCGCCTCAGCCCCAACCGTCAAGCTACCAGGAAGCAGAGGGCTTGGCCGTTCCGTTCGCACCTGAGCCTCCACCGCAAGGCAGCAAACGCTTCGAAAAAGGGAAAGGAAAAAAGGCCCTCCTGCCCCTCCCTTTCGCGTCCTCGCTCAGGAAATCTGATGCCGTCTCTCCACACGGCCCGCGGGGAAGGCCATGCTCCAGCGTGAATGCCAGCCGCTCGCTCGCTCGCTCGCTCGGCCTTCCTCCCCGACTGGTTCACGCACGCACACACCTTGCTTGGCGGCGGCCAGGCCTCTGCCTTCCCGCCTGCAAACCAGCAGCGGCGGGGGCCAAGCCAACAGCTCTGCCGGCAGGCTGCTAGACTCCGTTCCTGCAAGGCTGGCTGGCTCCCCGCACGCCCAGATGAAGGGACGACTGAGCGGGCAGCCGTCTTCCCCACACAGTGCCGTGGGCTCCTTTCCAGGGCCTCTTCCCTCAACTGGCAGGCCCGGTATGAGGAGCGGGTGCAAACACACTTCCTGCCTCGAGCTGGCAAAATGTTCAAGTGGAGGACGTTGAGCTTTCTAGGTGGGCAGCCAGCTGACACGGGGAAAAAGCTAAGCGTCTCCAGTCAAAGTCAGGCTGAAGTCCCATTCAGGAAGGAAGGACGGGGGAGAGCATGAGAAATCTGAGCTCTCTCCCTGAAGGGTTTCACGCTGCTTCCTTGGATGTGCCACTCCCATTAGCCGGTGGGGCATAGCAACTGCTCCGTGCTGACCATGCTCGGCCTGTACTTTGCTTGGCTGAACGTCAGAAGAGAACATTGCAACCTGATGTTCCCACAGCATCTCCTCTCCCAACCACCGCCGCAAGCAGAAAGGCACCTCTGCCCAAACTCCCTGCACCTGGTCTAGTTTCTCACCTAGAGGATGGCCTTGTCAAGCTGGTGGCATGCCTGAGGAGGTTCAGGAAGAAGTCAGAGCTCCTTCAGAAGCCAAATAAAAGCTAAATCCATGTTCCTTCTCTTGCCCCTGAGCTTTTTGACACAATTATCTGGAAGGAATGACCATTACCCACAGGAGCCTCCATCTGAGAGAGATGAAAGTGACCACCAAAATAAGCCACTGAATTAAATGTGTTGAGAGCAATGTGATCTGTGAAGTATTGAAAGACCAAACGGGGAGCTTACACAGTCGGTGTAAGTATTTCCATGCTTTCAAAAACAAAGCAGCAGCACAAGGGGGTCTGTAGGCATCACTCTTGGAGTGCACAGTGGTGACCTTCATGGCAGGTGAGATAGAAAGGTGGGTCCATCACGTCAAGGCGTGCCTGTCACTGATAGCACCCAACTGCCTGATGTGATCCAGTTCCAGACAAGGAGACGGGGTGTTCGTATGTTGCAGTGCAGCTCCCGTAAGGGACCCCGGGGGCAGCCAAAGGCACTGCTCCCTGTAAACTGGCCTTTCCCCCCACAAGTCAGCACCGAGGACATTTGGAGTAGAATGGGGGTGGGGCGTCACTGTCCTGTCCGGAGCCAAATCATGCTGTTGGCATGGCAGTCGTTGGCAATACTAATATGGTTCGGTCTGACCACCTGGGATGGTGGCAGGATGGGAACTACCCCCCCCGGTTTTCAAGTGGACACCCTCACCTTTTGTACCCAATGCAGTGGGCCAACTGTGGAGGTGCTAAATAACCTGGTCTTATGAAGCAGGAAGTCTTCCATTCCTAACTTTGCCTTCAAATGCAATCCAGTGTGAAGCCACACATGCTTCTCAAGGGAAATGGCTGCCGCCACAGATGCAGAGTCCGCCACATATCTGGCAATATTTATTTGTTGACTTGTTGGTTTATGCATCTCAGCCTGAAAAACTGGCAAGGTTTTTAGCATCCTTGAGGAGATGGTCTGAGTACAGTAGCCTGATCCCATAGCGGTCAATGCCAACATACGGTCCTGGCAGTTGACAACCCATAAATGCAAGGCAGTCACAGGGTCTACCAGTCTTGCAGTCAATGGGTGCCGTGTTTCATCTCTCCAGGTCTGTTGGGGAGGAATGTGTCTGGTGTTTTAATTTCACTTGTGAAGTTTCCACTACAATGAAATTTGGTGTCTGATTAGGAAGGAGCAGTCTTCCTCCGGGATCCTGTAGAAATTGATTGTTGGAGTGGTATATTGGAAGGTTTCCTCCACAATTGTTTAATTTGCATGAATGAAAAGTCCCCAGCATTGGAACTGAAGTCAGTGGTGCCAATGTCACCTTGATCTCTGTTGAAGGCTGGGTCGGTGATGGGAGTCAGTGACAGCTGAAATCGTAGGATAAGGAACTTCACCCCATTCAGCATCTGTCCACTGTAACGTCTGGCATCATCTAAGATGAAACCGAGGAAGAGGAGGAAGAGCCGAAGCAGCAGCCTTCCTCCACTGATAATGGGTCGTTGGTTGTTGTTTGGTTGTTGGAAGGTTCTGTAAGTCCTGGTGGGGCGTAGGGGTAACTCCAGTAGTTTCTTAGGGGTGGCATTTTGGAAGGAGCGGCCTGCAAATGGTGGCCAAAGTTGGACAAGCAGGATATTCAGACTGAGAGGAATGGGAACTTAGGGCAGTTGAGATCTTGAAATTTTCGGATAAGGAAAGCAAGACTGTCAGTGCTGACTGACAGATGGATTGGTTGGTATCCTTGAAACAGAATCTTCTAGGAGGCAAATGGTATTCAGATTAGATAACCAAGTTTTGTATATTCTTACGAATACCAAATTTAATATATAAAAACTTGGAAAAGTTAAAAAGGCAACAGCTGAGTCTTACTTGCTTTTAAGAAAATCATGGAAGCAACTGGAAATGTTTAAGCGGGCAACTAAATTAGATTTGGATGAGGAAAATAACATATCCACAACCTGTGTTAGAATTTACAACACGGAGTGGTGAGGAGATGGGAGAAAGTCTGGTAATAAGTCTTTTAAAATTGAGCAAAGAAATGTGTGACAGGAGTATTATGTGGCACATGTGATTCTGTCTATAAATTAAACTAATACTTCTTCAGGGGAAAATGGATGGGAAGCAGGCACAGCGCTGTTTCCTGCTGAGCAGATTCTGCTGTCTCTTTCTGGTCTCACATCAGTTCTGGTGCTGAGGTAACTGAATGCTTTGCGGGGAATTTTTATACACCCAGGAGAGCGCTTGATGAACCAGCCTGGCTTCCATCCCGTTCCATCAAACCATAGTGCCAGTGGCACAGAATCCTGCCATCTGCAACTTGAGCAAGTTGAAAGCACCCCAACCTCTGATATTTCATTCCTCTGCAGGAAGAGATTTCCACCAAGATCCTTTTGTACAATTTTACAGAAGTACAAGTGCAAGTAATTTGGTAAGTTCTTTTTATTCTTTTCTATTACCATCACTGGGTTCTTGACCCTTTCTTTCTAAATACATTTACAAACACAATGTCCTCAAGGGAAAAAGAAGTATAAAAGTCATTTTCACTACTCCAGTCAGTCATACACAAACATACTATGAATGAATGTATTTTGAAAGAGAAAATAAATTAGGTTGCATTAACTTCCCTGCTCTGTTTAATGTGCCACACGTCCTGTACACCTCAAATATAGAAGGGGCTATCACCAACATTTGAAAAGTATCAAAAAGCTAACTGCCACCCACCAAAAGTCAAAGAACAAGGAATTTCCTCTGCAGACTAAGTTATAAGGATTCATTTCTGAAAAAGTAGCAGACTGAATGTGTATTTCTGCAGTCTACCAAATTAAATACCCAGCTAATTTAGGCCACGGGAGGTAACGAACCGGCACGCCACCTCCCCAGTATCTCAGAGCAGTGCTTTACACACCTTGCTCCCCTCACAGATTAGTCAAGAAACACCTTGGCCGCTTAACACCTCGACAGCAGTGCAGTTCGGACGCTGGGGCTATAGCCTGAAGGATGGAAAAGTCATCGGCCTGGCCCAGGTGTCTCTCTCCTTTGCTTTAGGGTGGCCACTCACCATACAAGGATCTCCTGTCGGCTTCAGTCATGAGCATCCGTTGCTGTTTCTCAAAACAGGCCGTGAGCCCCAAAAACGCCTCCCATGCCTCCAGCTCCAGCACAGCTGCCTGAGGCACCAGCCTTGAACGAGGGATTCTGCCCACGGTCTTCCTGCATAGGCCCTCCTCTCACACGGGAGGAGTTTCAACTCCGCTCTCAAGGCCACCGCCAGTGCCCCCGCGGCCTCCCCCGCGAGCCAGTTTGTGCCGACGGCTGCCCTTGCCCTGCCAACACGGATAGCCATGTCAGCATCTTGTCGAGGCTTAGCTGGCGGCGGGAACTGGGCACCATGCCCAAGAGCAGTGCTGCGGTGGGACACGGCGCATCTCGGGCCCCAGCCTTTTCGAGGCAATGCGCACACCTGGAAAGCTGGGCTCCGGTGCTCTCGCCGACTGGCCAGCACAGCGGCCTTCCCTGTGCCTACAGGACGCTGCCAGAATAGGCACCGCCAGTCACCAGGCGCTCGCTTCCCAGCGGGGAGAACTAGTAACTCCACAAGGGAGGAGTGCAGGGCAAGACGCAAAGCCACTCCGACTTTTTGAAAAATGTCCGGCGTCGGCCGGCAGCCTGCGGCCAAACGGGACGACTAGCACCAGCCACTGCGAGCAGCCTCCGCTGGGTGCCCGGGGCCTGGCGCGGGCCCGGCGCTCTCCCAGCCTCGGGACGCAGGCCGGGTCACATCTGAGCCAGCCCACAGCAGGCTGTGATCCGACCTCGCGCCAGCAAGCCTTCCTCTGCCCTCCCTTCTTTCCTATTAGTTAGGCACTGTTGCTAGACATATGCCATGAACTCTGGCAGTCACTCCAGCAGGGCTTGTGCTACATCTTTAGAAGATCCTCCCCTGCCTACGAAGCAAATTATCCTGGTGAACCTCACACTACAAAAATAAATGAGAAACAGAGCTTTACAGATTGCATCATCGGTTTTTTAGCCAGTCATTGGACACTAATTTGTTACCCTGCTGAAGAAACCCGTGTCAGTTTACTCACTAATTTAAGGCTGTCACCCACTTAATAACCTTCAACTAACAGATCTACGTACATCTGCATATGAATAAACAGTCTGAAGAGTGCTCATTCTTCCTACCTCCATGCACAAATGAGGTGTTTTTCTCCTCTGCAAGAGAAACTGAGAGGACATAAAATGCCTCTGCTTTGGCACTTGTAGCTATTAACCATGATTTTTGCAACTTTACATTTTTAAGACCTGCAGCCGGATTAGCATGATCTGAAAAATATTAAAATCAATTAGTAATTTAGTATTATTTAACTGAGTGGTGCAGCCCTTATTTTACTGAATATAGTTCTGGGGTGTTGGGCTATTTTTCTAGTCAAAATGCCAGAGCAGAAAATACATTAACACTTAATTTAAAACAAATACTTAGTAATAAACAACTTGCAGTTTACGTGCATCAACCCATCAGTGTTAAGCCTACTATTTTAAAAAAATGCCACGGATGACAGTTGTTACAAAGTTTAGCAAAGACCCTTCTCGCTGCCTCTGACCTGCATAAGGAAAGCCGTATCCACACCGTTCTGTCTGTAAGGGGGCAAGCGTGCCTACTGCCCAGAGCCGTCAGAATTTGTCACGGTGCTTTCGGCGCCAAGAGGCTGCACGCTGTCCGTGAAGTTGTGAGCATGTTCAAGAAACAGGTCTTTGAGTACGCTCAGCTCCTTCGTCAGGAGCTTGATTTTGGCCTCCAAGCGTTCATTCTCCTCTTTGAGCTGGTTGACCCTCTGCAAGGTATCCTGGGCCTTCTGCTTGCTTTTCAAGCGGCTCTTTTTCACGGCCATGTTGTTGCGCTCTCTGCGCTGACGATACTCATCACTGTTTCTATCCACAATGGAATTCTTCTTGCCCTGCTTGCTGGGAGGCGTAGCTTTGCCGCCGCCACCGGGACTGCCGGGCACCAGCTGCGGAACCTGCTGGAGCCCGCTGGTGTGCGCTTGGGTGTAGATGACACTCACTCCGTTGGACTCTGCAGTTGTGTTCTGCTGTGATGTCTTGCTCATTTGGACAAGCTCTTCTTCAAATCCACAGTAGGACTGATGAGAGAGAGAATAAGATGTTCTGGACTTCTGGAACAGCTTTCACATGGGTTAAGTATGAGTTGAACCTAGGAAAAAACGTTTTTGGAAAATTTAGGATGACGTATTTAACCAGTCTTGTTTTCGAGCAGTAGCTGCATTAGGAGGCTGCAACACCTCTTAGGCCACAATCCTTTGTGTGTTCAGATAGAAAAGTGTCCTCCAGCTCCCAGCATTCCCCCATCAGCCCTGCTGCCTGGGGCATGCTGGGGGCTGCAGTTTGTCGGCATAAACACAAATAGGGTTATGCCCTTACCCAATGGGACTTGCTGCTGAGTAAATATGAATTTGACTGAGTTGCAAAGCCTTTGGATAGAACAGATGTACATGGCTAAATTACACAAATTATCACAGCATTTTAATGACATGCACAGCTTGAGATGTATGCAGTTGCATGCGTGATGACACAGTACAGAATACGGAGCTCATGCAGATGCCCAACTCCGTATCCCATGAAAAAAAGGCCAACGTTTTTCCCTAGGCCGTTTGCAAGCTCCCTTGTTGCCTCACCCCTTAAGCAATTTCTCTGCAACCCAGCCTGGATGTATTTGAGTATCACAAAGACATCCCTGGTGGATGAATGTCTAGCCAGGTCTTAAACGCCTCCAATTTCACAACCGCGTCTTGGCAACTGCACTGGCTGTCTAGCTTTTGCTCCACTTGTAGACATTTTGCCCAAAACCTTCAAGCCAGAAGTTAACACTGTCTTCCGAACAAGGCTATTTATTCCCTTCTAATCGTTTCAGTGGAGACCTTCGCTTTCCTGCAACGGCCCTTTCTCTACACGTTCCACAAAGAAGCTCCTCCACTGTCATGCCATGTTAAGGCCACCTTTCACTTTTAATTTGCAATGCGCAACTGGCACAGAAGCTGGGAGGGATCCATGAGGAACTGTTCTGGAAGTGGAGAGCCAGAGGATTATCTGGACTTGGCTCCCCAAAGGCCAGTCGGCTCTGTTGCAGCTTAAGTCCAAGCTCCTGGCAAGCACGTCCAAAATTTGCACAGTGCTCACCAGGAATCGAGCCTGTGCCACTGCTGCTCAGGTGGTGTCCCTCTTCCGTGTGACGTGTGCAACAGCTTGTCCTGCACGTGACATGGAAAAAGGCTGCTGGGGTGCAGTCTTGGTTCCACAAGCTTCTGTGGACTTTCTCCTGGCTTGGCTTGCTTTCTAAGAAAGGGTCAGCAGAGGGATGATCCTGGAGCATCCTTTCAACATTATCTCAAGGTTTAAAAAAAAAAAAAACATATTCAGCGACATTAGCCTTGTTAGCCTGGCACAGTAAGCCAGGATCTTGTGGCTGGTTTTGGTCTGTAAACAGCACAAGCCGTGCTTCCTGTTTCGAAAGGCATTAATCAAAACCACTTTGGTTTGGTGTCTCCGCTCGCAACAGCAAAACGTGCTACATGATTGCATGGACATTCCCAGAATCCTGGGCTGCTACTCTGTGAGAATGCAGGCACTCCCTGCTTCACCTGGCCCAAAAGAGCAAGGGAAGCAAATCCCGCCTCCTCAAAGCACACTGAGCAGTGAGCTGTGGAGCACTCCCTTGATTTCCCACTCGAGACTAAATGCGTTCACACTGATTTGGACCAAGACCTGTGTTCACTGGGGGAAGAGATTTGGACTCCCCACGCACAAATTCAGGCCAGTTTCCTGCTCCCCGCCGAATTTGAAGCTGGACAGGGGAAGAACCACCTGCTCACCTGGGTGCTGTGAAGTTCTCCAACCGCTTTGGGGATGCTATAATCCCAGATGAACAGACAAAAGTCTTAATCCTTCGTTCCAGGTCCACCCTCCAAAAACAGGAATAGCAAGGCACCGTCTGTTCATCCCAGTACTGCTAGGGCAATTCAAGAACAAAAGAAATCTGCCCCTTCCTTCCCGCCTTGAACTGGAAAGGAGCACGCCTTCCACGCAACTGGGTGGATGGCCTTCACCCCATTCTGCAGCGCCAAGGCTTGGTGCCTCGTATGGGTCAGAGAGAGAGGGAGGAAAAGGATCTGGTCCTGTGCATTATGCAGCCCTCACCTATCTACTTTACCATTTTTCTGTGCCATTTCTGGTTTTGAAAAAACCTGAAGACAAGTACAGCAAATACACAATTATCTAAGCACAAACGTGTTAAAGTGGGCTATAACTCAAGTAGGTAATACAATACATGAATGGTTAATTATATATTCTACACATGTAAGTAGCTAGGACGTATCAGAAATTGCACCAGGAATCTCAGCCACACAATTGCCACATTCTGAAAAACACAAAATTCGGTAAAGCACTTTGCGGTGCTAGCTGCTTGCTGGATTTTAGGAGCCAAACAATATCAGACTCCCTGCATGTAATTCCACGTGTGTCCCACACTTCTCCCATATTTTCTCACAGGACGAAATTGCTTCGGGCCAGCAGCTGTATCTCTCTTACCCCAAAGCCAATCCACACCTCCCTCACCCCCCACACACATTGAGCTATGAGGTGTCGGAAAGTATTATTTGGATTGCCTGTTCCACAGGAAATGCACAGCTCCGAGATCAGAGGCTGACCCCTGCAGCTTCCTTCACACTTTCTAGTTTAAGGGAAATGTTGGCGACATGCAGGTACGTGAGGGGGTGTCACACGGAGGTGGGTCGAGACCTGTTCTCCCCTGCAGAGGAAGGCAGGACGCGCTCTCACAGAGCAAAGCTCAGGGAGCCAAGATTCCATTTAGATGCCAGGAAGCACTTCCTGACAGTCAGGACCCCGAGGGTGTGGAAGGGGCTCCCACGGGAGGTCGTTGGGGCCCCATCGGTGCGGGTGCTCCAGGACAGGCTGGACATGCACACGATGGGCATGTCATGAGCGGAGCCGGCTGGAGCCGGGGGTCAGACTAGATGGCCCGGGAGGCCCCTTCTGGCTCACGCTGTTTCCGTGTTCCTGTCTGTTTTGCACTCCCGCTCTTCCTTGATGCCTGTCCCATCCCAGCGCCACCATTTTACCCACCTCACTGCTTCTGCTGCATGCCTTTCTTCAGGGTGAAGAAAGCTGTGGCTTTGATCTAGCATTGTGCTGTTCCGGGGGAATGGGAGTGGAGGGCGCTCAGCACAAAACCAGTGGGAGAGAACGGCAAACAGGGGAGGTGTCTGGCTACACCCCCTGTGGCAGACGCAAGGCGCTGAGGCTTGGCTGCTGTGGGCAAAGTGTAGTTTACAGCAGACCAGCATGACTGACGAAGGTACGAACCCTCTCTCTACCTGGAGGAGCCCAATTTACATGTTATTCCAGTTAGGACTCTCTAAAATGACGTGCTACCCTTTTTTAGTGAATCTACCTCTTGGGGTGCTAAATATCCTTCCTACATGTATACTCTGCTTGCTGGCCAGAAAAACTCTGCAAATACACTGGGAACAGAACCACCAGCTTTAACAGCAAAATTCGTTCAGAAAAGCTTTCCTTCAATGCCTCCAATTGAAAACTTGACAGCAACCTAAAAGAAGCACCTTAAACTGCAACGTACAGCTACAGCCGCGTCTAAGTTGTGCCCATCTCCCCAAATACTTTGTCAGGTTAGACAAAGAACGCAAGTGTTGTTTTCTTACATTTGTTGAAGGAAGAAGCATCTTGTCGAAACTGACAAGTTAATGGCAAGGCAAGATGTCTTTTCTCTGGCTGATATACCAAACCACAAATACTGGGATCCAAAAAGCATGAGATTCTTTAAAATATCACCAAGCCACTTGGATCTGCAGTCATAAAGGAAGGGAAAGCAAGCCCCCAAAGGATGTGGCCAAGGTTTTCCCCACAGCACTATCCCCATGGAAACCGAAGGCTAATGAGGAAGCCCAGGTTCGGCCTCACAGGGGATGCCCTCTCTTGTTGTCAGAATAAGTATAGGGTGAGGACCAACAGTCCTTGTACCCTACAAGTAGCTCTGCCATCCCGCCCACATGACCCAGAGGCAGCTTCGCAGCTGCCCTACAATTCAAAAGACCCTTTCTTCCTGCTCAAATACATTTCGGTATGGTGTCGATTGACTCAGGATGGGACTGAGCTACATATCCTACATATATTTAAATTAAATGCATTTTATTTCCAAGGTATGTCAGCTACCTGGGCAGAAAGGAGCCAGTGAATCCCAAGGAGTAACAGCAATCCTGGAATGCATGCTGGTTTTTAAATTTCCTCCCACCTGGATAAGGTAAGAGATGCTTCTACTTTTCCTCAATTGTGGCACTTACACTAGGGGAAAAAAAACATCTTGAAGCTCAGCATTCTCATGACAAGGGTAACATTCTAGCTATCCTGGATACTTGAGGATGCAATTCAGTGGACTGAAAGCCTGTGAAAGTGAGGACCACATCCTACCCAAAGTGGAGCAACCGTGGAGGTGATCTCAGCCTTCTTGCTCCATGGGCTTTTTTGCCTGTCTCCTGAAAGTGTTCCAGTGTGGGAGGGAAGAAGGGCGGAGCAGCCCCGGAACAGCTCACACCCTGGGCTCTCCACTCCACTCCCCTCCCTGCCCACAGAAACACACCCTTTTCTCCCTTTCTCCAAAAGTGTTCCTAGAACTCTGCAGGCCTCCTGGACCACAGATTGTCCCATCCAAGGCCAGAGTGCAGTCCCTGACCTTGGATCTGAGCATTCAAACTATTCTATGGCCTCTCAGGCACTGCTTAGGGCTTTGCTCCCCAAGTTGTCCTACAGTTTTCTCAACCCTAAAATTGCCATTTCCTGAACTCTTCTGAACAGAACCATCTACATTTAACTAAGAGACGCCTCTGCGCAAGCACCTGAAATCTGGCCCTTGTCCCTGGACAGAAACTGAAAAGCAGAAAGAAGTACCGGGTTAAAATTGCCCCGCGCTGGTTGTGCGCCGGGACGTGACGCGCGGACACGGATGATGCATTCAGGCCCACTCTTCTGGAGAGCCGCGAGTCTCACCGTGTAAAACAACCCGGAGGGAAATAGCCTCCAGCGACCGGGGGCATCCGCAGGAGCGCGCCTCGGCAGCACTGCTCCCCACGCCGCCCCCGGGGTGCGGCACCCTGCCAGCCCCCCCCCCCGGCGAGCGTGCGGGGAAGGCCGCCTCGCAGCACGCTCCCTGGGGCGCAGCGTCCCGGGGGGGCCTCTCCGCGCCCCCACCGCTCGCGCCAAGGGGCAGCGGGGGGGCTGCCTGCCTCCTCGAGCGCGCGCGCGCGCGCGCGCACCCCCCGCGGGATTCCCCTCGTGCCAAGCCATGACCTCATCCCGGCAGGGGCGGGGCCAGCGTTGCTCGCGGTTGCATCATGCGCGCGCGCCAGCCACGCGCGGCCCCCTCCCCCACGCCACCGAGCCTCGCGCCTCCTCCCCCCGCGAGGCGCCTCGCC